CTTCCTTTCCTTCCCTCCATATCTAGTCCCCTTTCTTCTCATAGAATTCTGCATGATATATTGATTGAAAATTCCTTTTCAGCACAATATTGACAACAGCGACTTTATGATACGGTTGGCCCACAGATGTGAATGTGAACGGTGAGTTAAAACTGGGACTTTTCCCCATACAGCAAGGATTAAGGGATATTTATTAGCGGTGTTCAAAACGGTGATGCACTCAGAGGTGTAGTGGGTAGCGTCCCTACCTTCAGTCCTGAATCTCTGGGTTTGAGCCTCACTTCAAAACCTTCTGGCCACAGAACATTATATTGCAGCCAATCAGATTGTTCGTTGGTACATTGTGGTCAAAGAGGCCTGTTTCTTTAAGATAGTTACATCACATCACAATATGCGATGTTCCTGTCTAAGTGTACCTGCCTCACCATCAGTCACTGCCTACCTCAGTGTAGTGTCTTCAGTCATGTGTGTAATTGGGGGGGTGCAGGGGGAATCTGATTGAGAGGCATGGAGAGGGTGGATCAGAAGCAGCTTAGTTGAAGGGTCAACAACAGGGGGGCATAAACTTCAAAAAGACAGGAAGTTTAGAGTGCATTATGTAAAACGTTTTTCACCCGGGGGCTGGTGGGTGTCAGGAATACACTGCCTGGGAGGGTAGTTGAGTGCTTTAAAAAGTACTTGGATGAGCACTTGAAATGTCATAATATTCCAGGCTACAAGCCAAGCGCTGGAAAATGGGATTAGAGTTGATAGGTCGGAGTAGACTCAATGGGCCAATGGGCCTCTTCTGACTCTATGGGTCTATAACTCCCTCCCGAACAGCAAAATGGTTGTCCCTATTCCACACAGCCTGCAGCGGTTCAAGAAGGCAGCTCACCACCACCCCTACAGGGCAACTAGGGATGGAAAATAAATGCTGGGCCCAGCCAGTAGTACCCTCTTCCCCTGAAATGAGCAAAGGAAATCTATGGCAGGCCATAAGAACGTGAGAGTTTCCCTGGTCAGCACAGCGAACACCTACAATAAGTGACTCTGTCACAGGTCCTTGCCTTGAGCCAGCGGCATCCTCATTCAGAGCCGCTTCCACCCACGCCAGGGTAGGAAGTTTGGAAAACAGAGGGCACATGCAGATTTAAGAACGCGCAAAGAACCTGAGGAGGAATTCCTTTAGAGGTTGTTGGGACATTGGAAATCGCTGCCTGAAAGCCTGGTGGCAACAGTGACTTTCAAAAGAGATTGGATTAAAAAGCAGGCAAAGCGAAAAATAAAGTTGCAAGGTAATGGAGAAACGGTGTGAGGCTGGCCGGGTCATCCTTGCAATGAGCCAGCACCAGCATGGTGGGCTGAGTGGCCTCCTTTGATGTTTCTATGGCGCTCAGAGGAAACTGATTTAGAGCAACAAAATAACCCGGCCCTGGCACCACAAGCATGTGGAAATGTTGACATAACTGGTAATATCACTGGAGTAGTAGGGCAGAGGTGCGGGGCTTAATGCTCTGGAGATATGGATTCAAATCCGATGACAGAAGCTGGCAGAAGTTGTATTTAAGATCAATCATTCTGGCGTTGTAAAGCTTGTCTCAGTCAAGGTGACCATAAAACTACCATCGATTGTTGCAAAAGCCCATCTTGGTCACAAACGTCCCTTCAGAAAGGAAATCAGCTGATCTGTAGCTGGCCTACATGTGATTCCAGACCCACAGCAATGTGGTTGTTTCTTAACTGCCCTCTGAAATGACCCCAACATGCCACTCAGTTTGAGGGCAGTTAGGGGTGGGCAACAAATGGTAGCCATGCCAGGGATGCCTGCATCTAATGAAAAAATTTCTCAAAAAAGGATTTTTACGCAATGAACTCCTGAGCTTGGGTCCAGTTACTGTTCAATTTGTGTTGCTCTGGTTACACAGAAAGTTGATTACTTCCACTGGGACTAGAGGGGAGCAGTGCATTTAGAGGTAAATGTTAGGGAGATTAGCCATGTTTTCTTAGGAAGTTCGGTATCCCGTGCTGTAACCTAACTGGAATTTCCAAGAATCTAAAGGAAATTGAATCAATAAAATAACCCAGGCTAATTATTCACCAGGTTCGAGCTCTGAAAGTCAGGATATTGCAGAGGTTAAAAGAAAGGAAGTCATTAGTAAGGAGGAAAGACACGGAATTTTCAGTTTGAGTTTTCCAAAATCATACCAGAAAGATCATTAACATATTCCTGTTTCTATCTTTGGTCTTTTCACCTGTCATGAAACACTGATTTCATGTTAATAGTTATTTTAGTTTTATTACTGTGAAACTATCCTGCCTTTGATCATTGTTCTTGCTTTTGTCGCCGCCCTACTGACCTACGTCCTGATGAGCATGGTCTGCATGCAATTTCAGCAAAACTATGTTGTCCTATTCTCGATAGAAATTTGACTTTAATCGTCATCATAAGGGCACAAGCCAGGTGTTTGCTGGATACTGAAGCTGTCTATGCCTACATTCAGCAGAATCTGGGCAATGTTCGGGCTTCTACAAGGCACATGTCAGGAGTGTGATGGAATACTCCCAACTTGCCTGGATGAGTGCAGCTCCAACAATGCTCATAAAAACTGAACATCATCCAGAAAAAAAGTAGACTATTTGTTTCTCCATATACCACGTTCAACCGTCATTCCTACCAACACTGATGCACAGTAGTAGCAGTCTACACTGCAGCAACTCATCCAAAAAATAACATGGACAACAGGTATATAGGAACATCACCTTCTGCACGCTCCAATATAAGCCACACCCAACCATGAGTTGGAACGAAGATTTAATCCCGATAAGTGCAAGGTGATGCATTTTGCATCTGATCAGGGAAGGACATAGACAATGAATGGTAGATCCCTAGGGAGTACCCAGGAACAAAGGGAGCTTGGTGTATAAGTCCATAGATCCCTGAAAGTGTGAGCCCAGGTAACAGGCTGGTGAAGAAGACATACAGAATGCTTACCTTCATTAGCCAGGGCATAGACTTTTCTTTTAATTTCAAAACTATGCTTTATTCATAGTCAAAAATGCATTTCAGTTCTGTACAGCATCATATCAAGGAAACAAACAAACACTGGAGTTTGACTCTATCCAACAAACAAACCAAAGTCATCTCTTACTTATACAAGTCTATATTTACATATATTTGAGGCACTGGGAGGATCCGATAACTGAACAGACCCCCGTTTACCTTCAGCAGAAAGACCTCATACAATGGCCTTTCCCCATTGTGCCTGGGCAGCAGTTGCCCCAAGCTTTAGTGCGTCCCTCAGTACATAGTCCTGGACCTCAGAATGTGCCAGTCTGCAACACTCAGTCAGGGTCACCTCCTTGCTCTGGAAGAGTACAAGTTTCAGGCAGACCAAAAAGCATCTTCCACTGAGTCGATGGTCCTCCCGGCACAGTCGCTGTTTGTCTCAGCATGCGTCCCGAGGAACAGACCGTAAACCGTGTCATGGAGCTGCTCAGGATGAACTTTGACAAAAACTGCTGTGGGTTTCTCCAGACTGAAAATATTGGAGCAAGGAGGTCTTGTTACAACTTTATAAAATATTGGTTAGACCACAGATGGCATATTGTGTGCAGTTCTGGCTGCCACATTATTGCAAGGATGCGATTGCACTGGAGAGGGTGCAGAGCAGATTCACCAGGATGTTGCCTGGGATAAAAAGCCACAGTTATGAGGGGAGACTGTATATGCTGGGTTTGTTTTTCTTGGAGCGGGGCAGGGGGGCAGTGCTCTGTTTGAGGTAAATAAAAATTGAGAGGTATCGAGAGAATACATCGAAATACTTTCTTTCCGATGGCAGATGCGTCTAAAACCAGACGGCATAAATTTAAGGTGGGAGCAAGTAGTATAGAGGGTTCTGAGAAAGATTATTTTCACCCAGAGGGTGGTAGAAATATGGTGCTGTCTGAGAGAATGGTGGAGGCTATACTCTTGCACCATTTAAGAAGCATCTGGATGACCATTTAAAATGCCAGAGTATCGTGTACTATGGACCAAGTGCAGGTAAATAGGATCAAGGTAGTCTGGTGTTTGTTGGTAGGCATAGACATGGTGGGTCGAATGGTCTGTTTCTATGCTGTAGGACTCACTCTCTCCACGGCTCGCTACAAATCATACACTGTCTGTGTTATTTAACCACCTAGCACAGACCAAATGCAACCAATTATGGATCCCACTCCATTGTGTTTATCCCCGAACATTGCTCATGTGGACCCCAGCTAATTTGACAAGTTAATTCAGTAGATAATATACAGCCTTCCTGATTAGTGATTCCACCAGCCTTATCGAATCCCCTACTTCAGATCATAGAGACTTAATCCAATTGTGAGGGGAGGCAGTAACATAGTGGGAATATCAATGGATTAGTAATCCAGAACCCTCAGCTAATGTTTTGGTTCAAGTTCCACAATGGCGATGGTGACATTGGAATTCAACAGAAGATCTGTTTCTTTTTGAACAAGTTAGCCTAATGTTACCCATTGTCACAAGAAAAAGCATCTGGTTCATGAATGTCCCTTATGGAAGCAAGTCAAGGTAAACATGACTCCAGATCTATAGCAATATAGTTAATTCATTAATGTTGTTGGAGCTGATCTCTTCCAGGAAAGTAGGCAGTACTCAGTCACATTCATGACTTAAGAATTATAAATGGCTGGTGAGGTGGGGACAGGTGGTTAGGAGGTGAGCCACTCGCTGCAGGATTCCTAGCCACTGACCTGCTATTGTAGCCACAGAATTTATATGGCTCATCCAATTCGGTTTCTGGCCAATGGTAACTTGTAGTTTATCCAAAGTGGATGATTCAATGAAGGCAAGGCCAAGTTGGAATTCAGAAATAAAGGTGAGAATTTTAAAATTTCAACATTAACTAAAAGACAACGCACATCCTCAAGCTCAGGTCAAGAATAAAATTCTTCTTCAAAATCTTCAATGAATCACTTTCTATTTTTGACAGCACTTTACCTTCGTTCTCTTGCAGTCTTGTCGCTAGTTACAACTCAACCCTGTCCACAGGAAGCCAACTTAATGAGGAACCCAGATTGCGTTGGTGAGTTCCACTCCAGAACTTCCTTTTCTTATTGAGTTTGTCTTACACTTTTCTAACCAACCTGTTCAGAGACGTTATTACACACCTCCGGAGCAAGTGGAACATGATCCTGGTCTAGATGTAGGGACACTACTACTGTGCCTCAAGAACACATCATGTTTTATTGTCTTTTTTTTTATTTAACCTATGTTTCTACTCAACATGTTCAGAGGTGTTATTGCACACATTTGGAGCAGGTGAGACTTGAACCTGGGCCTCTTGGTCTAGGAGTAAGAACTGTGCTACAAGAGGATCTTCAGCAATAAATGTTATTTTTCTAATCAACCTGTTCAGAAATATTGTTAGACATCTCTGGAACAGGTGGGACTTGAACCCAGGCTTCCTGCTCCACGGGTAGGGACATTACCACCATCCCGTAAGAACCCATTACTAAATTTGTTTATTACCAAGGGAAATTGCAATCAGCAAATTCTTACTAAACACTTAACACCTTCAGAGTTGTCTGGGAACGATGTTTGCATACTGTAAACAAATTCACACGTACTTAAAAGTAGGGTACAGATGCAATACAATTGCATTCACTGTCTGTGCATGTTCTTTCTCTGCACTTAAGAAAATAATTCCCATTCTTGAAAAATTGAAACCCTGGATGAAGGGTTAAAGATTGACACAGTTAAATTACAAGGATATGTTGCTCAGATGAGGCTTTCATACCTTTGAGTGTAGCAGAATGATCTAATTGAGGGTCTTGTATATTTCATATATTTCAGAACATTCCAGAGACGAGATTTAGTTTCTCAATGAACAACAGGTTTATTTGCAAGTATTTAAAGATATCTCTGTTATCATCAAATGCCTTTACTCATGCCTATTCCAACTCTCGCTTCTAACAGTCCTCTATGGTGTCTGTCCACTTTGCTCCGAGCCCACACCCAGGCTTAATCAATCAAGCACACTCAGCATTGATCGGTTAGCAGACTTCCACACTCACACCAAAACACCACAGAAGTATCTGACATCCCTTTTTCTCGCAAGAGTATATTTTATTTGTTTAGGAAATCTATAAGTTCATACAAAAGGCACTCCATCCATTCTATATGATCTTTGCTGACAGAAAAAATGAAACATGAACCCATTGGAATTTGACATCTCACATCAAATGGGAGTTACTGTGCAAGGGCGAGCACAAAGGCATTTTTAACTCTTGCAGGGAAAAAATATTTTGAGGCAACACTGAGTCCGAGATCTGAATGAACCCTGTTATAGTTTGACAAATAGGTTTTAGACTGTGGTCATTCCCCTCAATGAAGAGACAATAGAGAGAATGCAAAATAAAGGAAAAAAAAAACAAAATTTGAGCCGGGCCTTTCAGGGGATAATGAAACGAAAACAGACATTACTGCAAAAGCTCAGCAGATCTGGCAGCATCCATGGAGAGAAATCAGAGTTAACCTTTCATGTCCAGTGACCTTTCCTCAGAATTTTCAGGGATAATGTCAGGAAGCACCTTTCCACATGTGGGGGTGACTGCAAATCTGGAGTTCTGACAGCTGTAGAGGTTCAGGGCTAATCGATAATTTCAAAATTGGCAGCACTAGTCTTTGTTAGTTAAAGGTTATAGAATCAAGGCAAGTTGATGGAATAAACATGCAGATTATCCATGATCTAGTTGAATGGCAGAACGAACATGAAGCCTGTAGTTCAAGGCCCCATGCTCATTCTGCCATTCAACTAGATCCTGGATAATCTACATGTTACCTCCATCAACTTGCCTTGATTCTATAACCCTTAACTTCCAAAACTGTGTTGAAAGTTACAAATAATTTTCTACTTTTCCATTTAGAAAATGTTAGGCTAATTTTGCCTCTGCATTGATGGGAACGAGGGCCAGGTAGATCTCATTAAGTATGAGATCCTTGATTGGGGTTGTGAACTGGGGCCAATCAGGGAGCCCTGGCTGACAGATATAAACAGGAGATTCAGAGAGTCTCCTCAGTCCAGGGACTGGCTCTGAGCCGGCTGAGCAGAGCCCACGTACTGTGTAAATGAAGGGTGACTTGAAGATGAGATACCAACCTCTGTACAGTTGTCTCACCCTCTTCCTTTGAGTTTGAGGGCTATGCAAGTGAAGAACCAGGAGAATGAGCATTACACGCCCTCGATAAGGTTATAGGTGTTAATCTCATCATTATGTGCGACGCGGTCATCACATGCGGGAGAGAGTTCTGCTTCGTCACAAGGGGAGAGATTGATCTCGGAAAGGTTGAGGTGCTTGGGAAAGAGTAACATTGCATTGAAGATTCAAATATCGAATCAGAGAAAAGTTGTAGCATACATGGAGGTCATTTTGGCCCATCAAGTCAGGGCTGAAATAAAAATGAAAAGTGCTGCAGGAACTCAGCAGGACTAGCAGAATCTGTGGTGAGAGAAACACTGTTAATGGCTATGCAATAAATGTTAAAAATGTAAAATAATAAGCAGGTTTCAGGAAATTACATAAAATTGGATAGTGAGGCCTACCTCAGACTACCAGCTCCAGCCTTGATTCCTTCCTCCTGCCCACCCTTGGTGATAGGTGTAGAATATGGCCTCACTTAGTCCCATGTGTATGCCAATGCCTGGACTGCCTTCTGAGCATTAGTTCAAAGTAGAGGGAGAGAAAGTCCTAAAGGCTGCAGGTAAAGCAGGCCTCTTCCCCTCCATTGCTGATCCTATCTTGTGGGCCTTGTTTTCTGCCAAGGGCCGAGGAGCTCCTGCCTTCTCTCGGGCTCTTCTGGGTCCTTAAGGTCCTTTGCTGGACATCATGTCTCTGGGGATGGTATGCCTTCCGCAATCCACCTTATTTTCCTCTTCAGTCCCGTTGGAGGACAGATGGAAGCATGGTTTGATACCTCAGGGCCTCTGAAAATCCAGCATTGTCTCCATATTGGGGCGTAGGTCTCGAGTCTGTGCTGTACAAAAAGCAATTTGCGTTTGGGTAGCACTGTTAATGAAGCAAGAGCTTCCCAACACGCCGCACAGCAGCAATTATCAAAAGCAACTTGTTACCATTCCACATGAGGTGAGATTGCAGTCAGGTTGCCAAACATTTCCTCAAGTTGAGGTTTTAAGGTAGATCTCAGATGCCTCACTTGTACAGCATGCTGGAAAACAAGCTCTGCTATCCTTGAAATTCTCTCAAAAGTTAAAAATTTAATCAGAATACTCAAAGAATCCCCAAATTCTCATGGCAGTTTAGAAAAAGGCAAATAGTAAACATTAGTTTGTCTACTTCACAAGAATTACTATCTATTACAAATTTCTATTAAAATTTATTCCAAGAATCTCGCTACAAATAAGCAATAAATGAACTGTCAACATATAACTCTACTTCTTAAAGCTCTACTCACCTCATGTAACTCTCCTACACATAGATGCAGACAGACATAGACAATCAGAAAAACATCGGTGGAGTGAATAAGGACAACACTGGGGAAACATTTCAATGGCTCCAGTTTGCTGAAATGATCTTTTTAGAGTCATAGAGTCGTACAGCCCAGAAACAGGCCCTTTGGCTCAACTCATCCATGCTGGCCAGATATCCTAAACTGAACTAGTCCCATTTGCCTGCATTTGGCCCATATCCCTCTGAATCTTTCCTATTCATGTACTTATCCAAGTGTCTTTGAAATGCTTTAACTGTACCTGCATCCACCACTTCCTCTGGCAGCTCATTCCATACACGCAGCACAATCTGCATGAAAAAGTTGCCCCTCAGGTCCCTTTTAAATCTTTCCACTCTCACCTTGAACCTATGCCCTCTAGTTTTGGGCTCCTCTACCTTGGGGAAAAGTCCTTGGCTATTCACCCTATCTATGCCCCTCTTCATTTTATAAACCTCTATAAGGTCACTCCTCAGCTTCCGATGTTTCAGGGACAAAAAAGGTCCCAGAGTCTCCAAATGTCTCAAAACCTCAACTTTTGCTAACATCCTTGTAAATCTTTTATTGCACACTTCCCAATTTAATAATATCCTTCCCATAGCAGGCCATACTTTCACTTGCTTGCAAGAGGCATCGAGTGACTGGTTCACAAATTAAAAAGTCTCTGACTTATTGGTGAAAAGCAACAGCTGTGGAGATACCTAGGGATGTGGAAGGCTTTGCACCCAGCCTGTTGTGACATGCCAGCTGATGGCACTCAGAGTATGTCTACAATGGATTGAAGAGAAAGGGGACGTTTTGTTGATATGCTTTGTTGCAGATGGTGATTGCAATATCGATGAGTCATCCCTTTACGGAGATTGTGGTGAGAACATGGAGTCCTACGTTTCACAGTTCATGCTATTTGTCAGAAATCACTGCATCTGTAAAGATAGATTTGTATCCACCGTCTCTGATCGGAAGACAGACTGTTTCGGTAAGAATCATATCATTTGAATGATTTATTTCATGTGTAAATTCAGCAGCTTGATTACATTTCCTAGAGATGGAAATTTTCATGTTGGCACCTAGCCACAGTGCAAGACAATACCGATTCTGGTGTGACACAGACAGAAATAAAGTACAGTCCCTGCAGCCTGCATCAGTGTTCAAATCCATAAAGATAGCCCTTACTATTCACACACACATTTCACTCACCGATGCATCCTGGAGTATTTGGGAGTGAGATGACCAGGCTACTGCCAAATTAGGGAAATGTCGTTTGTCCAAAACGCACATGTAGTCCTGATCTGGCTCTGAGGTTCAAAGTCAACACAGGGTTGCTTTGGAACATTAAATAGAAAGTCCTTTATGCCCCAGTGCACAGAGATTTCTGTCCCATTGTGGATAAAACTTATTAGTGGTCCACCGGCTGGCACTCTTACAATTTGCATCATGGATTCAAGCCCTACAGCAGGAACTTGAGCTCATAGCCCAGACTGGCACTGTGGAAGTGCCAAGCTATCAAATGTGCTGACATCTGGATGCGATCCTAAACTGAGACTCAGTCTGCCCGCATGGTGAATCTAAAAGATCACATGGCACATTTGAAAAGAGAGCAGAGGAAATTATCCAATGTTTCGCATCAACTGAACATCACTAAACAAAAGATGATCTGGTCATATAAAGGGACAAATCTGCAAGCAAATTACAGAGAGAAACCAACATTACAGAGTGGTTATAATTGAGGTCTTAAACACCTAAATGTAACACAGGGGCAATGTAGCAACAATTATGTTTTGGAAAATGTCCAACTGGAAATGATGCACTATTGGACATGGGTTCTTGGAAATTATAAAATCTCTGACCTTTTGGTTAAAAGCAACAGCTTATAGAAATTAGCTGCAGAGATAGCAAGGGACATGGAAGGCCAGCTGATAGCACTCAGAGTGTGTCTACAATGGGTTGAAGAGAAAGAGGACATTTTGTTGATTCCCTTTTTTGCAGATGGTGATTGCGATATAGACGAGTCGTCCTTAGATGGAGATTGTGACAGGGACATACAGTGTTACGTTGCACAGCTCAAACTATTTGTCAGAAATCACTGCGTGTGTAATGAGGAATTTGAGTCCCCTGCCAATGAAATGAACTCTGCTCGGAAGGCAGACTGTTTCGGTAAGAATCATATCGTTTGAATGATTTATCTCACATGTAAACTCACCAGCTTGATCCAGTTTCCTAGAGGTAGAAATTTTCATGTTGACACCTAGCCACAGGACAAGGCAATCCCAATTCTGGTGTGACACAGTCAGAAGTAAAGTACAGTCCCATTAATACCCACAACAGTGCTCAAATCCATAAAGGCAGCCTTTACTATTCACACGTTCATTTCACTCACCTATACATCCTGTCGTGTTTGGGAGAGAGATGACCAGGTTATTGCCACGTTAGGGAAAAGCCCAAAAGGCGCATGTTGGCGGATGACAGGAATCAGGTAGAAAATACAATTGTGAACCAAGAGGAATACAGAGCATTCAGGAGGAGGCGATAAAGCATATTACAGAAGCAAAGAGGGATCACGCGTAAAGACTGGCAGCCAACGTCAAGGAGAATTTCAAAGTCTGCTGCAGGTACATCTTTAGTGAAAAGGTGACAAAAGAAGGAGTAGGACTAATTAGGGAGTAAAAAGGTGATTTACACTTAAAGGCAAGAAAGAATGGCTGAAGTATCAAATTAATACTCTGCAGTTGTCTTCACCAAGGAGGCAAATGTTACCCAAGCCATGGTGATAGAGGAGGAAGCTTTATCACTAGGAGGGTTCAAATTTGATAAGGGGGAACAGCTGGACAGGCTATATACTTAAAGTTGACAATGCACCAAGACTAGATGAGATGCATCTAACAATAATGAAGGAAGCGAGAATGGAAATTACAGGTTGCAAGGGCCATGCTTTTCAGTCTTTTCTAGATTCAGAGGAGGTACCAGAGCACTAGAGGCTTGGAAACATTGCACCCTTAATAAAAAGCTGCAGGATAAGCCTCAACCAGTCAGTTTAATTTCAGAAGCTGTGAAACTTCTAGGAACAATTTTTCAGGATAGAATTGGTAGTCACTTGGACACAGATGGGTTGTTTAGGAAGAGTTGGCATGGATTTCAAAAGGGGAAGTCAATGTTTGACTGGCTTGCTGGAGCCTTTTAAAGAGGTAACAAAAGGTTTGATGAGGTTAATGCTATTGATGTGCTGTACAAGGACTTTCAAAAGGCACTCATCACAGTACCTCACAACACACATCTAAGCTAAAGGTCATGGAGTAAAAGGAACGATAGTACTGTGTATACGAGATTAACTGACCAAGGGATGCAAGTACATAGTTCCTTGAAAGTGGTGGCACAGGTAGACAGGGTGGTGAAGAAGGCGTTTGGCACACTTGCCTCCATCACTGAGTACAGGAGTCAGGACGTCATGTTATAGCTGTACAAGACATTGGTAAGGTCACATTTGGAGTACCGCATACAATTCTGGTTGCCCTGCTGTAGGAAGGATGTTATTAAACTGGAAAGGGGGCAAAAAAAGATTTACAAGGATGTTACTGAGACTGAAAGGTTTGAATTATAAGAAGAGGCTGGACTGGCTGGGGAGTTTTTCCCTGGAGCGTAGGAGCCTGAGGGGTGACCTTATAGAGGTTTATAAAATCATAAGGGGCATAGATAAGATGAAAGCCAAGGTCTTTTCCCCAGCATACAGGAATCCAAAACTAGCAGGCATAGATTTAGGGTGAGAGGGGAAAGATTTTAAAGGGTCCTGACAAGCAACGTTTTCACACAGAGGGCAGTGTGTGTATGCAACAAGACACCTAGAGGAAGTGGTAGAGGTGTATACAATTATAACATTTAAAGATATTTGGACAGGTACATGGATAGGAAAGGTTTAGAGGGATATGGGTCAAATGCAGGCAAATGGGACTAGTTCAGTTTGGGAAACCTGGTCAGCATGAATGAGTTGTGTTGAAGGGTCTGTTTCCATGCTGTATGATTCTATGACTCTGTAAGCAGAGAGTAATGATCAATAGATATTTTTCGAACTGGAGGAAGGTTTGTAATGAAGTCTCTCCAGGGCTCAGTATACAGACCCTTGCTTTTCCTGATTTATAAATTACAGGTGGTGTGCAGGAAACAATTTCAAAGTTTGCAGATGCTGTGAAACTTAGAAGAATTTTAAACTGAGAAGGAAAGTGTCAAACTCCAAAAGGACACAGAAACGTTGGTGGAGTGAGCAGATAGATGGGAGATGAAGATGAATGGTGATAACAGTTGGTAGAAAGGATGTGGACAGACAATATAAAACAGGGGATATGATACATTAATGAAGTGCAGAGCAAAGGGACCTAGGTGTATATGTCCACAGATCTTTGAAGATTAAAGGACAAGTGGAGAGAGCAGTAAATAAAGCATATAGTATCCTAAGATTTATTAAAGGGGTCATAAAGAGAGAGGAGGTTATGCTGAATTTATACAAGACACTCGTTACAGTTTGAGTATTGTGACCAGTTCTGGGCACCACATTGCAGGAAGGTTGAGAACACGTTGTAGAGAGCACAGAGGATGAGTAACTTTGGTTATGTGGATGGATTGGAGAGATTGAGACGGCAATGATCTAAAGTGATTTGCAAGCATAAGAAATGCAATATGAGAAAAAAATAACTTTTTTCACTCCACAAGTAATTAGGGTCTGGAATACACTTCCTGGAAATGTCATGGGGGCAGATTCAGTTGAGGCATTCAAGAATGCATGATGATTGTTTGAATAGACACAATGTTCGGAGGTACAGGGAAAAGACAGAGGAATTGTATTCATTCATAATGCTCATTCTAGACATGATGGGCCAAATGGCCTCCTTCAACGCCATAATTCTGTAATATTCTATTCATTTGTCAAGTGTCTCATGAATATTGCAGCTTGGGCTGCAGTGCTTCAAGAGGATGTTCACCGCCACTTTCTCAAGAGCCATTAGAGATGGACAATAAGTGTCAACAATCCCAGAACACTCGCATTCTGAGAATGAGTGATTTATTTCAACTCGCTCTTCATTTTCTGATTTTAAGGTGATGCACTCACCACTTTGCCTGGAGAGGGGCACACCTCGGTAATGTACAATATTTTGTTGGTGTCTCTCCACAAGTGCATAAGGGGTTGGTACCACGACTGACCAGTGTTGGAGGTGGGTTTGTCGTGGATGCTCAAAGCCTGCTCTCCAGCAAAGGGGGAGGTGTGCCACAAGGCACTTGTCGGTGACTTCACGTGTCCCTGAGTCCTTACTCCTTAATTGCTCAGAGAGGTAGCTCCAAATGGGGTGCTAAGGTAATGGGTGGGCAATGGGTGGGTTGAACAGATATACTGTGAAAACTTGTGGAAATATCATCCGTATTATAAAAAGGAGGTAACAACATTGAAGAACGTGCAAAGAAGGCTTACTAGTCTGAAAACAATATGAGAGGTTGGTCCCATCAATAAAGGTGGAACCTACTTGTGTTCTTTTTCACTGGAACAAAGAAGACTGTAAAATGACATAAGTTTTTAAGATTATGAAAGGATAGACATGGAGAGGATGCTTCTGCTTGCGGAAGAGCTCAAACTAAGGGGCATAAGCATATGGTATTTAATATTAATATGTTATATGCAATTCTTTTCTCCAGAAGTGGCTTGGTCATTGAATGATTTTTTCGGATGTATCATGAATAATAAATCCAATTGGCAATTCAGGAGAAATGTCTTTACACAGAGCATGGTCAGAATGTGAAACACACTACCATAGGCAGTAGTCAAAAGCAAAGAATGTAGAAATGCTTTAGGGGACGTTAGATAGGTATATGAGGGAGAAAGAGATGTTTATGTGGTTAAAATATTCATAGGGCTAGACAGAGTTAGATGTTGGGCCAAATCATCCATTTCTGTGCTCTAAGCATTTTGTATGATTTTGTAACAGCAAAATTCCATTTTAAATTCTGATTTATTTCAGGCATTAATGAATGTGTTGACAAGAACAATAATGAATTATGTGGACCGAATGGAACTTGCCACAACACAGTAGCAAGTTACAACTGCTCCAGTAACCAGGCATTTGAAGCTTCAGGAGCGAATGATTCCTCTAATTTATCTAAAGATCAGCATCAAGGTGAATCTTGCTATTCTATGATGTGGAGGTGCCAATGTTAGACGGGGATAGACAACGTCAAAAGTCACATGACACCATGTTATAGTCCAACAAGTTTATTTGAAACGCAAGCTTCTGGAGGAAGGAGCTGAGCTCTGAAAACTTGTGTTTTCAAATAAACCTGTTGGACTATAACCTGGTGTTGTGTGATTTTTGACCTTGCTATTCTACACATTTTTCCTGCTCATCACATCCCCTTGATCTCATTGAATTGTATCACACTAATTTTTGTGCCTCAGGATCTCCTACACCATGGAACCTTTGAAGCATCTTGATTTTGCAGGGGGTGAGACTTTAATTAGAGGTAGAGACAAGGGAAGCTGATATTTAAAAGCAAAATCCTATGGATGGTGGACATCTGAAATAAAACTAGAAATATAAATAGTAAATGCTGGAGAAACTCAGCAGGTCTGGCAGCATCTGTAGAGAGAGAAACAGAGTTAACATTTCGAGTCCAATATGACTTCTTCAGAACCAATGCTAACCCTAACCCTATCTTAATTTTGAAGGAGACTCATACCAGACAAGAAACATTAACTGTTTCCTTTTCATGGAGGAGCTGACATTATTCCCTTATGAGAAGAAGAGATTGGCAGGCTCAAGGGAGATTTAATAGTGGCACTCGAAATATTGAAGGGTTTTTATGGAATGGTTAGAGACAACTGTTTCAAGTGGCAGACGGGTCAATGATCAGAGGTTATAGATGTGTGAACCAAAGAAGAGGAGAAACATTTTAATTCGGTGAGATGTTATATCTGGAAGGTTTAAGACAGTGGAGAAGCATATCCAATAAGAACTTCCAAAAAAAGCGTCTGGAATTAAGAACCTAATGACCATTAATCCATTCTCGATTGTTCAATAAAACCCATTTGGTTCACTCATATCGTTTACAGACGGAAAGTACTATCCTTACCCAGTCTGGCCTTCATGTGACTCCACACTCACAGCAATGTGGTTGACTTTTAACTGCCCTCTGGGCAATTAGGGATGGGCAATAAATGCTGGCCCAGCTAGTGGCACCCTCATCCCATGAACGAATGAAAAGAAAGAGCACTGGATAAGCATTTGAAAAAGAAATTGTACCTTTTGATCTTCAGCTAAATTTTCCTACTGCTTCAAATAATCTGATTAATATTAGCTCCAATGATTATTATTTACAGGACAGAATGCTTACAGCCCAGAGGAAACCTTTTGACTCATCATTACAAGATGACCAGAGGATTAGATAGGGTGGACAGTGGGAGCCTTTTTCCTCGGATGGTGATGGCTAGCACGAGGGGACATAGCTTTAAGTTGAGGGGTGATAGATATAGGACAGATGTCAGAGGTAGGTTCTTTACTCAGAGAGTAGTAAGGGTGTGGAATGCCCTGCCTGCAAAAGTAGTAGACTCGCCAACTTTAAGGGCATTTAAATGGTCATTGGATAAACATATGGATGATAATGGAATAGTTTAGGTTAGATGGGCTTCAGATTGGTTTCACAGGTCGGCGCAACATCAAGGGCCGAAGGGCCTGCACTGCGCTGTAATGTTCTATGTTCTATGTTCTATGTTCTATGTCTGCTGTCTCTGCAAAGGAGCGAATTAGCTTGTGCCTTCTTCAGGTACTCTCCATGCCCTACCTTTTTCACACAAGGAGTTAATTCCCTCTTAAATACCTCCACCGCACTCTCAGGTCATGCATTCCAGATCCCAACCACTTGCTGGGTGAGAACATTTTCCCTCAAAATCACAAAGTTCTTTTGCCAATTATCGTAAAACTGTTGCACTTTGGTTCCTAATTCCCTCAAACAGTCAGGACAGTTTCTCTCTATTTACTCTGTCTAGGCCTTTCATGAATTGGAAAACTCCTCTCAACCTCATCTTCTCCAAGGAGAACGGCCCTAACCTCTCAAATCTATTGATGCAGCCAAAGTTCCTTATTTCTGGAACCATTCTAATGACCATTTTCTGCACTCACGCCAATTCCTTCAGATGTTTGCCAAAGTGTAGTCCTAGACACAATACACTAGATCAGAAAGCAACAGAGTTCTTGATACAAGTTTAGTATTGTCTCCTTCCTCTTCTACTGTATGCCCTGTTAATAAAGTCTAGGATGCTGTTTGTAAATTCTGCACCTGTGTTTGGCAGAGATTGGATCAATTTTGACCAATATTTCATGTTAATGTCAATTGGATCCTTCCCTGACTTAATCTGGTGTTGTTACAACTTTTTAACTGGTCTCGAGAACTTAATCTTATTTAAAGCATCACAGTTTCCAATAAGACTGAGTTAGCCACGGTGATAAAATTGGGTGTGTAAATCCAAAACTTGGATATAGCTTTTTCATTTTCAAATTCCACAGAATTTTCACTTGGTGAACATTCAAGTTTCAGACAGCGGGAGTTACGCCACAGTGGGGCTATACCAGCGCCTGATAATGAAAACAGATCAGCACCTGTTCAAGGAATTATACTTCCTCCTGTTAATAGAGACACTCCCAAACCTGTTCACAGAAGAATACCTGCTTCTGTTAATGGAGACACACCTGCCTCTGATAATGGAATCACACCTGTTCCAGTTAATGGAATCATGGCTACTCCTGTTAATGGAGGCATAACTGTTTCTGATAATGGAATCACACCTGCTCCTGCTAATGGAATGATGCCTGCTCCTGTTAATGGAATCACAGTTACTCCTGTTAATGGTATCACGCCTGCTCCTGTTAATGGAATCACAGCTACTCCTGTTAATGGTATCACGCCTGCTCCTGTTAATGGAATCACGGCTACTCCTGTTAATGGTATCACGCCTGCTCCTGTTAATGGAATCACAGCTACTCCTGTTAATGGAAAAACGCCTACTCCTGTTAATGGAATCACAGCTACTCCTGTTAATGGAATCACGCCTGCTCCTGTTAATGGAATCACAACTACTCCTGTTAATGGAGACTTACCTGACCCTGAGGTTGGACACACTCCTGCCCATGTCCATGGTAATAGGAACATACTGACCTGATCAAAGCTTCCCATTCTCTGTACATCACTTACCACAGTCAGTCTATTGAGTTTGACTGGGGTTTAATTAATGCACAGTAAGGAGGAATAGAAAATCTTTATTTCTATAACTCCTCAACAAGCCTGGAGATAGTGCTATCTTTCATTTCTGATCTGAAGCTTTAGTTTTGCATAATACTAGAATCAGAATTGAATTAATGAGGACAAACCAGGCATCCCTCCTTTCTCCTCGTCCTATCATTAGAAAAACAGACGTTGTGTCTGGAGGAGAGGGCTCTACAGAGGTAATTGCTGCCACTGAATAGTTAAAGATCGGAATGCTAAAGGAATATTGACACTGTGACCAGTTAGTATGGTCATTGGGCATAAGACAGTCAATGACAGGGCTGTGCTGAATAACAATTTCGAGCAGCTTCCAGAATCTCAGGGGAATCAGTTCTATCATTTGATTTGTGGGTTTATGGGTATGTAGTACAACAGAGAAATAATTCACAGGCCTAACCTAAAACCCAACTTGTTCATTAATGACCTTTAGAAAATAAAACCCACCTCACTTACCTGATCTGGCCAAACACGTGACTCCAATTCTGAACCAACCAAGTGGTCAACTCCATGATGTAAAGGGAACTGAAGTAAATACTTAAGAGAGGAAGAAATATGACAGAATGAGATTTTTTTTTATTCTTTCGTGGGTTGTGCCATTGCCGACAAGGCCAGCATTTGTTGCCCATCCTTAATTTCCCTTAAACTGTATGATTTGTTAGGGCCATTTGGGACAGTCAATCACATTGCTATGGGCCTGGAGTTACATTTAGGCCAAACGGTTGATTGCGCTCCATTATTGAACCAGACGGGATTTTAAACAACAAAAATGATCACAGTCATCATTATTACAGTTAGATTGAGATATTTGTAATTAACCTGTTCAGAGATGTTATGACATACCTCTAGAGCAGGTGGGATTTGAACCCAGTCTTCCTGGCACAGAGAGGGAGACACTACCATTACACCATAAAAGCCCTCTGAGGCTTGTTTTATGTGAAAGCTATTAACTGAATTTAGATTTCACCAGGCAACATAGCAACAAGTTCCAGCAAAACCTTAGCTCAAACCTCTTGGGTTACTAATCCAGTGACATTACTCTACACCACTGTGGCCCTGGATATCAGCAAAAATCTGCTGTGGCCTATTTCTAAGCTGTAATTTCTACATAGTTAAAAAGAACACTAGCTGGTCTCCAATGCCAAATGTTTAAGGTTCGCTGTTGAGTGTGGAATATGTGGTTCAGATTATCCTCAGGCTGTTCAGTTCCTGAAGGATCTGCTATGTAAGTCTGATGTTCTGTTTTCTATTTCAGACTTATAGCATTTACAGTTTGATTTCCCTTTACCTCTTCTCTCCTGTGTCGGTCTCCCTCTCATGGCCAAGGGAAAGACTGCCTCACTCTGTCAGCGTGTCATTTGATAAGTTAAAACCTTGACTCATCGCTCAACTACAGACTGTTTGTGGTTTGCATCTTTCCTTGCAACTGTTTGGAGGATTTTCAATGTTGGATTCTTTTTGGAAATGGTTGTATGTGTTTGTTAATTATTGAGTTAAACTCCAACTGCTAAAAATGATTCTTTTGAATTTAAGGTCAAAGTGATATCGTGTGACCTATGACTTAGAATCATAAGGTCACAGGGCTGTACAGCATGGAAACAGACCCTTCGGTCCAACTTGTCCATGCCGATCAGATATCCTAAATTAATCTAGTCCCATTTGCCAGCATTTGGCCCTTATCCCTCTGAACCCTTCCTGGTCATATACCCATCCAGATGCCTTTTAAATGTTGTAATTGTACCAACCTCCACCACTTCCTCTGGCAGCTCATTCCATACGCACACCACCCTCTGCATGAAAAAGTTGACCCTTAGGTCCCTTCTTTCCCTTCTCACCTTAAACCTATGCCCTCTAGTTCTGGACTCCCCTACCCTGGGGAAAAGGCCTTGGCTATTCCCCCTATCCATACCCCTCATGATTTTATAAACCTCTATAAGGTCACCCCTCAGCCTCCGACACTCCACGGGAAATAGCCCCAGCCTATTCGGCCTCTCCCTATAGCTCAAACCCTCCAACCCTGGCAACATCCTTGTAAATCTTTTCTGTACCCTTTCAAGTCTAGCAATATCTTTCCAACAGCAGGGAAACCAGAATTGAATGCAGCATTCCAAAAGTGATTTGATTTAAAACAACATTTATAATCTTTGCTGTTTAACTTAATTTGGGGGAATGGTGTGTTGCAGTGAATTGAATGATGGCTTTTACATTTCTAGGCCCTTAGTTTGACCTCAAGCCCAACAGATGAGTTTTGGAAGTTCATGCTGTTGGCTTTAAGGGTCAACGTTTTGATCTAAATTTGGCCACTTGTCACCCCAACCTCTGTGGATGTGGCTTAAGAGATGCCTACAGTTGACAATTGGTGCGAGAGGATTGCTTGAGAAGGATTGCCATCTATTCATCTTGTAGATATTTTCAATCAAAATGTTCAGACATGTTAGGACAGACTTCTCTAGCAGGTGGGACTTGAACCCCTGGTTCAGAGGTAGGGACACCACCACTGCATCACAAGAGCCCAAGCCATCCTTTGTGCAATACTCATATTAAGTGGTGAAGCACTAACTACTGGTAAGGCTTTGGCAGAAAAGGCATAAGCTTAAGTAAAGAAAGGATGTTTTACAAATTAATAATTAATTAGTTAACTGCATTATGTTTGGTAAGCAATATTGGCAGCTCCTAACAAATAGAAACTAGGTCTAGACATTTTCTAAATAACCTGTTCAGGAATATTATTACACATCTCTGGAGCAAATAGAACTTAAACATGGGTCTCAGCAGTAGGGCCAATACCATAGTACCTCTAGAGCCCTTTGGTAACTAGATCCATGCTATATGCCTGGAGACTGCCTACTAATTAACTACAGAGCAGCTACTAACAAACACAAAACACATAGACTAATTCTTCTAAGAAAGGGCAGCACAATGGCTCAGTGGTTAGCACTTCTGCCTCACAGTGCTAGGGAGTCGGGTTTGATGGTGACTGTCTGTGTGGAGTTTGCACATTCTCCCTGTGTCTGTGTGGGTACCCTGTGCAGGTTAGGTGGATTGGCCAAGGGAAATGAAGGTTTACAGAGATGGGTCGGGGCTTGAGTCTGGGTGCGATGCTACTTGGAGAGTCAGTGTGGACTTGTTGGGCTGAATGGCCTGTTTCCACATTGAGGGAATCTGAAGGTTATTTATATCTCAGTGAGAGATGGAAACATGTAAAGGGTCTTTCAGCTAACCCTAACAAGCCAAATGCCAAATACAATATACTCCTTCAGTGACTGCATTTGCAAGAGGTTGTTCATTTCCCTCAGGTATTCCACAGCTTTTTCAGCAGCACTTCAAAGGGCCAAGACCTCTACGGCTTCAAAGGACAAAGCCAGCAGGCACATGGGACATGCAACCACTCCAGGCCACACACTATCTGAATTGAGGTTAGAATGGTCACTCCTGCCCTATGCTGCAGAATCTTGGCCCTAACAGCACAAAGGGGGCCCTGTCACCATGCAGACTGTTAACGCTTCAAGAAGGTGGCTCTCAGGTGAAACTTGGGAGGGAAGGCACACCCAATGCCAATTCTGCTTATCACAACTACATCCTGAGAAAAAAGGTGCTTGAGCAGGAGCGAGAGGCTTCTGACACAGAAGGGGAGAGGGATGGTTGAGACACATTGCCAACAGAACGAAATCAGTTCACTTGCACTCTATTAAGCGGAGCTGACATGAGGCCAACAAGCATTCCTAATTTACACATATCATCCCATTTCTTACAATCACATCCTCCATTTTAACAGACACTTATTTCCCACTTGTTGGTGGAGATATTTGCAAATCAACCTGTTTTCAGATGATATGGAGATGCCGGTGTTGGACTGGGGTGGACAAAGTCAGTAGTCACAAGACACCAGGTTATAGTCCAACAGGTTTATTTGAAATCACAAGCTTTTGGAGCACTGCTCCTTTGCCAGGTGAAGTAGAGGGAGGTACACAGACACAGAACATATAGGTGGAGAGATAATGGCAAGATAATTCCAGGCATTTAAGAGCATCGACAGATAAGTACAAAAAGTGTGAGTGAAGTGTCGACAGGCTGAATAACAAGTCTTTGCAGATGATCAAGAATGTCAAACGGTATGAGTAAAGTGTAAATAGCTGAATGACAAGTGAAGGGGTGACTTATGATCTGATTAATTGAGGCAGAGAGATAATTACAAATAATCAAAAACAAAATGGCGTAAGAGACAAACCAAATGGCTGGAATAACATGAGTAGGTAACAGAGTCACATGAGAGGGTCTAACCAAAGTAATCTACTCTGATACCTACTACATCCTGGTGTCGTATGACTTCTGACCTTGTTTTGATATGTTATCACACCTCGGGGACAAGTGGGACCTGAGCCCTTGCCTTCTACCTCAGAGGTAGGAACACTACCACTGTGCCACAACACTCCCAAACTCCCAATAGACATAATAGATACTTTTAACCAACCTGCCCAGGTATATCACGGCAGCCTCCGGGGCAGGGGGGACCTGAATCCCAGCCTCCTGCCTCAGAGGCAAGAACATTACCAGTGTGCCATTAGGGTCCTCAGTCACTTCTTTGGATGTGTTGTAGTTCATGTGCACTGATACCATCTGAGGGGTTCTGGGTTGATTCAGGCTCCCAATCCTTCTTATTGGTAGTAGTCACTGTTACTGATACCAAGTGTGGAAGGATGCCCACATGAACTCTTTGGGAGAAGAGAAGCTCAGTCTTGACGGATCAACAATGTTTATTACATAGTACTTAATAGCTCGTGACATTACATCTGACAGTCTCTTGTGAGAAATCAGGCTTGACTTTTGAGGAAGTACACATTCTTGCTTAGCTACATGAGATTAGCACTTGCAACTGGTACACACTGGTCAGCTCTTCCCAGGAACTGTCCTATCCTGACAGGGAAGGCTTATCTGGTGAAAGCATTTTTTCTACATTATACAATTATACAACATTTATAATTAAGGTCAGCATCATAAGGCTATGACAAAGCTACTAAACTGTATTTCCAACACTCTGTTGTTTCAGCCCCTGTAACGTCTCCTATGCTCCCCACTGACCCTGTTGGCTACAGTGTCTCTGCCGTTGGAACCACTGGAACTGACCCCACATTGGCAACAGCACCAGAGCAGGTGAGCCATCAGTTATATTTACCTGCAGGATCTCAGAAATGGCATTTCCTTCCTAAAACCTGCGGATGCCTCCTCCACCCACCCTCCCCCTCACGAGATCATTTCTCAACTGTGAGCTTAGGCAGTGGGGGCCATAGCTGACAATGCAGGAGGGGGTTATTGTACTGTCCTATAGGAGCACAAGAACATTTGTCAGCAGGGGACAGGAGCAGGAATACAGGCTGATTGTTTTAACCGATTTCCAGGAGGGGGAAATGCCTTTGGTCACCATCATGGGTGGGACCAGGGATCAAAGACCATCAGTTCTCTTCAATTCATTCCCCTCACTGGTTACTAACCTAATTCTACTCACCCAGTTGCAAATCAGACTTTCCTGGGATTATGAAAATGTTGCTTATCTTTCCATAAATGTTCCAAGTTATCTCAGAGATCATGTCCTTGGCTAACCTGAGCAGGAAATCTTCTTGTAACAATGATAGACATTAACCGCGCAGAGGATGAACACCAGAGTAACTGAACATCTTTTGCAACGTGCAGCTGATGACTAACCATAGAGGAGATAGACAGCAGCAATGATTCGAGTTTGGCATGATTCAACTAGACTTTTCTCTCCTGTCTTTCCATAGCCAGCCTCACCTGTGGAGATATTTTGCTCTAGGATGACTAACAGCAGCAGCTTGCTTGGTGAACTGTGCCAGAAACCTGCCAATGGATCATTACTTCAGGTGAGGAGGAAGATAGCGCCCTTTAGCTCTGTGTGCAGAATTCAGAGAACAACATTTGCTTTGGGAAACTGGTGATCACGAGTTAACAGAACACTACAGCAGGAGACCATTTGGCCCATCGTTCCTATGCTGACTCTTTGACAGTCCTATCCAATTAGATATTCCACCCTCTGCCTTGTCCTTTCCCTTTTGCTGCAGTGTTTTTCTCCTTCAAGTATTTATCCAGTTCCCTTCTGAAAGTCATGATTGGCATCCTTTTGGGTGGCTTCACCTGATGAAGGAGCAGCGCTCCAAAAGCTTGTGATTTCACATCAACTTGCGGGACCATAGCTTGGTGTCATGTGACTTCTGATGACATCCTTTTAGGCAATGTTTTCCACATCACAGTTCATTTTTGTGGAAAAATAGCCTCCTCATTACCCCCTCTTTTAACAATCACCTTCAATGTGTGCCCTCTGGTTACCAAACTCTTTTGCCACTGGAGACCGTATCTTCTTAATTTTTCTGTCAAACTTTTCATGATTTTGAATGCCTCAGTTAAATCTCTCCTCTTCTCGAAGAAGACTAGCTCCAGGTACTCCAGTCTCCGCGCATCACTGATGTCCCTCATTTCCGGTACCACTTTAATAAGTTTTCTCTCCTCACTGAGGCCTTGAGATCTTCCCAAAATGTTTCAGGAAACTTATCTCAAGTTTGTCCTTCCAATGTTCCCCAACTTGGGTTAATTCTTTCCTTTCTTGGTGAGATATCATTTCACAGCCTCCATTTTGGTTCCTTCCCCAAAAGGAAAACATATGTGTCTGAGCTAGGGCAACAAAGTCCAAAAGAATATTCCAGGAGGTCTTGGAGACCACGGCCAAACCAAATTCCAATATCAGCAGATGTGTCTCCCTTCCCATACTACAGCTGAGTCTGATTGGGAGCACTATCATCTGCAAGTTTCCCTCTGCAATGCACATCATCCTGACTTGGAACTATTATCATCATTCCTTTGCTGTCACTAGGTCAAAATCTCAGAGCTTCCTCCCTGATAACACTGTGGAACACCAAGTGGACTGCAGCAGTTCAAGAAGGCAGCTCATCAACACCTTCTCCAGGGCAACTAGGGATTAGCAATAACCAGCAGCTTTGCTAGTGCTTCCCATGCTCTGAGATTGAAGACACATGAATTGAAGACACATTGGAGACCCTCAGGATTACAAAAGATCATATTAGACTCAAAATGATTGACTCTTTCCAGTTGTGAGCTACAGTATGCAGTAACAAGGTGCCACAAAATTAACATAATTGCACAAAAGTTGACTTATACCCATTATTTGTGGGGTCGTTTGATTTTGTTTTCATCAAGAAAGACTTGCATTTTACAGCAACTTTCCAATCCTCAATGTCTTTGCAGTCAATGCATTACTTTTGAAGCATTTTCATTTTTGCAATGTGGGAAATACAGCATCCAAATTGTGCACAGCAGGATCCCACAGGTAAAGCCAGACAACCCTTAGTGATAGGGGTTGAGGGATAAATGCTAGCCAAGAAATACAGGAGAGAACTCCTTCTCTTCTTCGATCTAAAATCACTGAATCTTAAACGTCCACCTGAAAAGGCTGAAGGAGCTTTGGTTCACCATCAAATAGTAATGCTACTTTCTCTCGCACAGGATATCATTTCCCTCACAACAAGGCTGTTTGCAGAGGAGTCCCCATTGAGGGCTAAAGCACAGGAGGAGCGGCTAAATTCAGCATCTCAGGTCCTGCAGGACATGGAGAATGCTGCTATCACACTCGCCCTGAACTCAAAGGGTCAAGGACTGCAAGACGTCACCAACAAGGCAATGGGTAAACATACAGCAGCCTGTGATTGACAATCCACAGGAGAAGACACAGAACTAACTGAATCACAGGATCTGAGCATTGTTATTATGCAGAAGGAGGCCATTTGGCCCATTGTGTCCACACTGGTTCTATTACCAAATTGGCATTCAGTCCAGTTCAGCTTTATTGAGTCAACATAATATGTATACACTGTCTGAAAGAACAACAGAAGCAAATTCATTGTAATTTTTATAGGTGAATCGGATATGTAGATATACACAAATGTAATAATTAATGTTGTTTAAGAGGAGACTCTCAATCTTTGGTCCCAAAATCCTTCTCTTTTGTTATAGCTTGTGCTAGCTTTGGGAGTGGGGTTGTTGGGAACAGTCTTTTTTCCAAATTGTTCTTATAAAGATATAATCAGCACACATACCCAACATCGAACAGTGCACAGAGAAGGGTACCCATCAAACACAGAGCAAACAGGCTGATACCTGTTGCACATAACTGATGTTTACTATTATCGCTGGAATGGGAAAGCAAGTGTTAGCGATACGATGATGTATACGATGATGTAACTCTGACATCACTAGTCACGTGCTACATGATTCTGACAGAAATGGGAGGGTTCCAGGAGGGAGCTTCTACACACAGCTTAGTATTCTGCTCATTGGTATGTAAATTAGAAGAGGTTATTGGAAATCCTGGAAGTTACTCATAGATGAGGCAGAGATAAAGATGCAGCAGACTCAGAGCTACGTTCAAATATATAGACAAGAAACAAGAGTAGGTCACTCGGCCCTTCTAGCTTGCTCAACCAATCAATAAGATCATGGTTGATTTGATTTTAACCTCGATTTTATACCCCCCCACCTGATAATCTTTCATCTCCTTTGTCATCAAGAATCAATGTACCTCTGCCTTCAAAATATTTAGAGCTTCTGTATCCAGTTAGCAGCCACTACAGTGCAAGCCATAAGCCAGGTTTCATGGTAACAGAATCCACAAGGACTCAGCAACATAGGGTTGTATCCACAGTGTCAGCATTATCCTTGGAGGCAGCTCAGTGCACTAATAGGAAGTAGAAAATGTGCTGTTTATCACAGGTAGGAACACCAAAGGACCATCAGTTCATCTACATCCACTTTGTGCTCTTTCACTTTCAGACCTTCAGCTGCGAGTTGTTGACGTGAGCAGTGTGGATAATAAAGTGAGCCTGGAGGCCAAGGGCAATGCGATCGACATTTCCTGGAAACCAGCCACCAGCTCTGAAATGACCGGTACACTCAGCTATACATCATGGAATTCTGGCCCACCGCTGGGCCCCAGGTTTGGGTTGGGCCGCATAGGGGCCAACAAGTCACCATGGGACTGAGTTACAAGTAACCACTTTTCCTTTGATGCTGGGTGGTGAATGTGACTGTGCTATTCAACTCAGGGTGGCTTTACCATGCTGTCACCATGTTTTCACTAGTCTACGTGCCCTTACCACTGCAGGGGACACTGGATAAGTCAAGAATGACCTGATTGATTATCCCCGGCTTACTGCAGAGACATTTGTGTTGGGATCCAGAACAACAATATTGTTATTCATTTTGTACACCTTTGATAACCAGATAAATACCATCCTTTTCATCTTTTCGAGTGACACTTCCTTCAAATGATCATTATACATGATGCAGAACTGGCTAACTGAATATTCTGATTGACATATATTTGAATGTACAAAATGGGTGGTGAATAGGTCATTCGACCCTCCAATTTGCACTGCCACTCAATAAGATCATGGCTGATCTGTTTATGTTCCGAATTCCACATTCCCATCCATCTTGATAACTTTTCATTCCCCGACCTAACAAGAATCTATAAACCCTTGAATAAAAATATCCAGCCTCCACCACCTGTTGAAGTAGAGTTCCAAAATATCACAACCCCCTGAGAAAGAAAAAAATCTCCTCATCTCTGTCCTAAAAGGACAACACCTCATCTTTAAACATTGTCCCCTTGGTTCTAGACTCATTTGCAAGAGGAAACATCCTTTCCACATCGACCATTGTCAAGACCATTCAGGATCTTACACACTTCAATCAGGTCATCCCTTGCTCTTCAATTCTCCAGTGGATACAACTTCAGTCTGTCCAAACATTTCTCATAAGATAACGAGCTCATTCCTAGTAAACCTCATCTGAACTGTCTCCAATGCATTTACATCCTTTCTTAAATAAGGAGGCCAGAACTGCACACACTATTCAAGATGTGGTCTCTCCAATACCCTGTTTTGACTGAGGGATAACCTCCTTATGTTTATGTTCAATTCCTCTCACAATAAAGGATAAAATTTCATTAGTCTTCGTAATCACTGCCCATACCTGCACATTAATTTTATTTGTGACTCGTACACCACACATCAGAATTCTGCAGCCATTCTCCATTTAAGTCACACTTTGCTTAATTTTCTTTGTGCCAACTTAACATTGTCCTGCATTATATTCTATCGGCTAGATTTTTGCCTTTTTTTTTCGATCTCCTGTTCCAGCGAATAATTCTGCCAGACTTTGACCCACTTCTAAATGTAACCCAATCATTGTGAAATGTAAAAGTTTACAGCACAGACGGATGTCATTTAAGCCTTTGTGGCTATGCTGACTCTTTTTAAGAGCAATATGAAACTAATCCCATTGTCCAACTCTGTCCCAATTGTTCTTATACAATTCCCCAGTGATGGGTATCACTGGCAAGGCTGGCATTAATTGTGTTTAGTTGCCCTTGGGAAGGCGATGACAGACCTAGTTTTTGAACCACAGGTGACCCTTGGGTATAGGTACATTTGGAGTGCCACTATGTGAGGAACTGCAGGACTTTGAACTAGTGTCAATCAAGCCAAAGCAAGTAAGTCCAAGTCAGGATGGTATGCCGCTTGGAGGGGAATGTATCTGCAGTGGTGTTCCCATTCCTCAGCCTCAAGGTAATGGAGGCCACAGCTTTGGCAGGTGCTGTCGTGGGTAGTACCAACCTATCCCTGTCCCTCATTTGTAGGCCTAAATGTTGCTAACCTCATATGACTCCTCTGACTCCAGGCTCTGTTGCGGTTGCTTTCATCGTGTATCATGACATGGATTCTGTCCTTCACGGAGCATCCTACAAAAACAAGGAAACCAGCGAGAGATATGAGGAGGCCCAGCTACAGTCCAGGGTCATTTCAGCAGCTGTGGGATCCTCAGGCAACTACAAACTTTCTGTTGCTGTCAGCTTCAGCCTAAAGCATAAAGAGGTTTGTGGAGTTAAAGTGATCAATTCAAGACTACAACAGCAAGATCATGCACTTAGACAGGGCTTTGGACATTATTAGCTATCCCAAAGCACTCTCTATGAGTGTTATTGTTTGGAGAAATGCACTTGTAAGAGCTTTTGTGGCTTGCCGTAGTTATGTGACCTCTTCTGCCGGACTTCTAGTTCAGAGAGAGAAGACCCCCCACCCACCAAACGTGAAACTTGCACCAAGCCACATAAAACATTAACGGGAGTGATGACCAAAAATCCTGGTCAAAGACAGAACTTGGTTTGAATTGAGATGCAGGAATTTCGGAAGTTTATCAGAGGGGTTTCAGGATATGAGGCTGCCCAGTGCTGTGTTGGGATAGTCACAGCTAAATTGAGAAAAGTATGGATGAGGATTTCAGTAAAAGACAAACTGAGGCAGGAGTTTCTTACAAGAGGAGTGATGTGGACAGAGAGAGAGACAGATAGAAATAAGAAGGATATTCCTGAGTTTAGGGTCCAGATACTTGAAAGCATGGCCATCGATGCTGGGATTACACAAAGCAGGAATATGTTAAAGGTTAGGATCAAATGATTCTTTCCAAAAATATTTACCTGCCTCAAGGTGTATTTGACCCATCAGTTTATCCTATTTTTGTTTATGAGTCGGATATTATGCATAAAAGTGCATTCCATGAATTAAATGCCACAATCCTATTCTAGCAGGATATCCAAATGTGAAACTGTACACTGTAGGGAGAGACTAACGTTTCAATGAAACCAAGGACATTGAAGGGAGACCCTGTCTTTCTCTGACACTGGGTCAATGGAATATTACAGGCCTTTGTGACATTCTGAGCATCACTTTGAGATTGGACATATCAGTGCCGTTCAGAGTGAGTGCAGCATTATCACAAACGTCATCTTCAGATCAGACATTAAACTGAGGCTCCTTCCAGCCTCTAATGTAGCCTGAACAATCGAGGGCTAATTTTGATAGGGACCAAGGAACTCCCCACTGTCCAAAGACGAATTATTATCCCTCAATCGCCCATTCTAATTATTTATCTCATTTCAGATGGTGGGATCTTGCTGTGGGCAAAGCAACTGCTACATTTCTTACATGCTAACAGCGGCTAGGCTGTTAAAATTCAATGTTTAATGGAAAATGGGGGACCTCTGATTTTTCACACTCACAGCACGTATGCATCAGCTTAATTCAGAGCTAGCGTGGAGCTTCAGATTCAAACTTCTCACTCAGCAGTGAAGTGCCACCCAACTTATTGTTTGTCCTTATTTTTTCTATAACGAAGCTCAGTGGTATCAACGGTCTTGGGAATCTGAATGGCCAGTAGCTGTTGAAGTGCTCCTCAATCCAGCCATCTGCAATGCGTTGTTCCAGCAAACAAAAAAGTACCACTCAAAAGTTGTTCTGACAAATAATGGGCTGGCTTTCTTCTTCCACAGGATACCTCAGTTGGTTGGAAGAGGCTATGTGCCTACTGGATGCACGCGGAGAATGGAGGCCACTGGTCTCCAAGTGGCTGTGAGTTGGTGGGCTCCAATGACACACACACCACATGTCAATGTGATCACTTTTCCAGTTTTGCGATTTTGATGGCCTTCAGCGAGGAGGTAAGTGTTCTTTCTTCCCTTTCTCTGCTCTCTACCCACTTATCTTCTAGTTGAGAAATAAATATGGACAGATACAGGAAGCTGGGAAACTCGCAAGCACACAAATAAAATAACAGCCGATGCTACCTGAGGATTCAGCTTACATACAATGGTTAATGGGAACTCTACATTCAGCAGATAATATCCAAGATTTCTGAGGAGGAACCTTTGATAGTGCAACAAAAATATATCGGAAATCTAACTTACCACTTATTCATCCAATCCTAGAGTATGGAAGTTGGATGGGACCTTTACAATGCAAGAGGTATAAAGAAGATTGAAGCAATACAAAGACATACTGGAAGATTGTGCACAAACCAGTCTGAGAGATACACCAGTGTGCATATTTTTATTCCAGGATTTGGAATGGGAATCACTACAATGAAGGAGGGAGAAAAATGCACTGACCGGGTTCTGTACAATTTGGAATGGACTAGTGAGAATTGACAGAAACAAGCCCCTGGTGCCCTCCAATAATTACAAAACACAAGTTAGCCATCCACACAGAGCATAAATACCAATGAATATAGAGAATGTTTCAATTCAACAAAATAGGTGACAATCATTCGCTAATTCATTCTGCAGGGCATTCCCCGCCAATCAGAGTCAAACTGCTTTTTTAAAAATTTAAACAAACCGGCTGTTAACTGCCAATCATCATTAGTTGGTGGTTTATCCATGGTAATGCCTCCACTAATCAGAATCAGTTCACCAACCAATCAGCCCTCTCGCAATATATATGTTGGTTTTTCCCCCTTGAATTGGTATTCTTGTGAATGGTCCTGGTGAGTGCAAGATAAAAATCTTCAACAAATGTGTCTTTTTACAACAATATTCAAACACTATTTGTTTCCCAGACAGTGTTCTCAACAACATTCCTTCCCAAGGAAAGCCCTTTAGTCGAACAAGTTGCCAAAGGAAACAAACATAGCCCTTCAAAATCTTCAAGACCCAATTTCAGATTATTTCTATTTAAAAACTTTCATTATCAGAATGAGCAGCTCAGGAAGTTATGTCTCATTTAGCCAGTGTGATCCACATAAATGTTGGCAGACTATTGATGTCTGTCAGTGGTGCTGGCACAACTAGTGCAGAGACAGAATAAATAGGAGCTCTCAAGTGGATGAACACATTGGCAGAGTTGGGACAGAGTCCAGGAGCCAGAAATGGAATAGAGTTGCTTAGTCCCTTAGACAAGTGATCAAAGAACATCAACAGGAATTTGCAAAGGAATGAGTCATATCTGATTAATTTATCTGCTGAAATGTCTCTGCCCCTTTTCAGGAGTAAATGTTTGATTTCTGTTCTTAGGAAAACCATAGGGAGAGCAAAAGGGGCAGAAACACGACAATGCAGGTCACCACCTCTTTGTCATAGAATCCCTACAATGTGGAAACAGGCCATTCGGCCCAACCAGTCCACACCGCCCCTCCGAAGAGCATCCCACCCAGACCCATTATCCTACCCCTGATTTCCAATATCTAACCCACCTAACCTAAACATCCCTGGGCACTATGGGCAATTTAGCATGGCCAATCCACCTACCCTGCATATCTTTGGACTGTGGAAGGAAACTGGAGCACACCCATGCAAACACAGGGAGAATGTGCAAACTCCACACAGACAGTTGCCTGAGGGTGGAATTAAACCTGAGTGCCTGGCACTGTGAGGCAGCAGTGCTAACCACTGAGCCATCGTACCGTTCTTTGGGTTGACTGCATATATTGAGCCTGTAGGCAGGGTCCCAATCACTGATGTCAGCATTGTTGAGCAAACGCAGAACCAAAGAAAATAGGAGTAGGAGAAGGCCATTCAGCTCTTTGAGCCTGCACCACCATTCTATATGATCATGGCTGATCATAAACCCAGTACTTGTCCCTGCTTTCTCCCCATTCCCTTTGATCCCTTTAGCCCTAAGAACCATATCTAACTCCTTCTTGAAAGCATTCAGAATTTTGACCTCAACCACTTGATTTGGCAGAGAATTCCATTGGCTTGCCACTGCCTCGGTGAAGAAATTTCTCCTCATCTAGTTCTAAATAGCACACCCATGTCCTTAGACTCCCCTGGTTCTGGATTCCCAGGTCATCAGGAACATCCCTCCTATGTTTACCCTGTCTAGTCCTGCTGGAATTTCATAGGTTTCTATGAGATCCCCATTCATTCTTCAAAACTCATGAGAATATAGTTCCTATCTGATTAAGTCTCTCTTCACAAGTCATATAGTGAGACAAGCAAAAACTTGTTGGACCCATGGGAGTAGGTCAGTCCTTGTAGACAGCAATATCAACACAAAGCAGGCCTCTTGAGCATTTGAACCTCACATGAAGAATTAGCGTCAATGATGTTTGAGCAGGAAGGACATTGGAAGGCCTGTAAATCTTTACTCAGCTTAGTAGACAGTGAAGAATGTCATCTAAGATTACAATGGGAACTTGATCAATTAGGCCAATGGACCAAGGTGTGGCAGATGGAATTTAATTTTGATAAATGCGAGGTTGCATTTTGGTAAGACAAACAAGGGCAGGATAGTTAATGGTAGGGCCCTGGGGAATGTTGTTGAACAGAGAGACCTAACGGTTCAGGTCCAAAGTTCCTCAAAAGTTGTGTCACAGGTAGACAGGGTGATGAAGAAGGTGTTTGGCATGCTTGCCTTTATTGCTCAGACCATTGAGTATGGGAGTTGAACATTATGTTGAGGTTGTACAGAATGTCAGTGAGGCCACTTTTAGAGTATGTGTGGAGTTCTGGTTGCCCTGCAGTAGGAAAGATATTATTAAATTGGAGAAGCAGTAGAAAAGATTTACAAGGGTGTCACCAGGACTGGAGGTCCTGCGTTATAAAGAGAGGCTGGATAAACTGGGACTTTTTTCACTGGAGCTTATGAGGTTGAACAGTGACCTTGTAGAGGTTTATACAAGGTGGGGGAGAGGGGGCCCTAGATACAGTGGACAGTGAAGGTCTTTTCCCCAAGGTAGGGGAGTTCAAAGCCAAAGGGGATAACTTTAAAGTGAGAAGAGAAAGATTTAAAAGGGACCTGAGGGGCAACCTTTTCACACAGAGGGTGGTTCATATGTGGAATGAACTGCCAGAGGAAGCAGTAGATGCAGGTATAGTTACAGCATTTAAAAGACATTTGGTCTGGAACATGAATAGGAAAGGTTTAGAGGGATATGGACCAAACCCAGGCAAATGGGACCAGTCTAGTTTGGGAAACCTGATCAGCATGGACAGGTTGGACTGAAGGGTCTGTTTCTGTGCTGTATGACTCTCCACTGAGCCATTCTGACATTGATCACTTCTTATCCATTCAGTTACAGGATTATTCCGATAAGCCACTGACTGTAATCACGTTCATTGGAATCCCGATATCTCTGGCGTGTCTCGCACTGGCTATCGGCACCTTTCTCTTCTGCTCGCAGGCTCAGAATGCTGTCACGGCCACTCACACGCAACTCTGCATCAGTCTCTTCCTGGCGGAGCTGCTCTTCATAATCGGCATTGACAAAACCGGAAACCAGGTAGGAGACACTGCCACAGGACGAGGGGCAAGTTGGCTAATTCGGAAAGTCTCCAACAGCAGCTGTGGTTTTAGAGTTGTGTGTCTAATGAGTAAACACCTCAATGTGATTGCAGTGATTGTGTGGACAGACTGGGGTTGTTTTCCTTGGAGCAGAGAGACTAATGGGGGATATAATTGAGATGTAATAAAATTATAATGGGCATAGACAGGCTAGAAAGAAGAGCATTTTCCCCTTGGCGGACCGGGGGCACAGATTAAGGTAAGGGGGGTGGAGAAATTTTAGAGGAGATGTGAGGAATTTTTTTCACACAGAGGGTAGTTAGAATCTGGAACTCACTGCCCTTAAGGGTTTTGGATGTAGAAACCTTCAGAACATTTAATAATTATTTAGATGTGCACTTGTAGTGCCAAGGTATACCAGGCTATGGTCCAAATGTTGGAAAACAAGATTAGAATAGTTAGGTGCTTGTTTTTTTTTGTCTGGTGCATAATCAATCGGCTGAAGTGTCTTTTTCCTGTTCTGTAATTCACAAGAGTATTATTATTCAAACACATCATCAAGTCATGAAGGTTATATCAGGACATGAAAAGAACAGAAAAGAAATCTGATGGACCTGATGGCCTTTACAGTGACTTGACCGCAGAAAGACATAGTTTGGGACCTGAATATTGACGTGCACAACACCCTTAGAGAGGAAAGGGGAAAGCCACTGAACATAGGAGGCTGCTAAGTAATATTTGGGCAAGGCACAGGCGTAATAGGCCAACTAGCAGAAGGTAGAGAGTGGGGATAAAGGGTTGGCAGCCAACGAATAATGGAGTTCTGCAGAGGTTAATGTTGGCACGATAATCATACTCATTATACATTAACAATCTAGAAAAAGGAATTGAGGGCATTGTTGCTAAGTTTGCAGATGACACAAAGATGGATGGTAGGGACAGGTCATGTTGAAGAAGCGGGGAGGCTGCAGAAGGACTTGGACAGGTTAGGAGAGTGGGCAAGGAAGTGGCAGATGGAATACAATATGGGAAAGTGTGGGGTTATGCATTTTGGAAGGCAGAATAGAGGTGTAGACTATTTTCTAAATGGGGAAAGGCTCTAGAAATCTGAAGCATAGAAGGACTTGAGAATCCTAGTTCAGGATTTACTTAAAGTTAGCATGCAAGTTCAGTTGGCAGTTAGAAAGGCAAATGCAATGTTAGCATTCATTTTGAGAGGGCTAGAATACTAGAGCAGCGATTTACTACTGGGGCTGTGTAAGGCTCTGGTCAGACCGCATTTGGAAAATTGTGGGCAGTTCTGGGCCCCGTACCTAAGGAAGGATGGCCTGGCATTGTAGACATCCAAAGGAGGTTTACAATAATGATCCCAGGGATGAAGGGTTTGTCACATGAGAAGTTGTTCAGGACTCTGGGTTTGTACTCAATGGAATTTAAAGGGATGAGGGGGAATCTCTGAAACTTACAAAATGAACTTGGGAAAGATGTTTCCACTACTAGGAGAGACTAGGCCCCAAGGGCACAGCCTCAAGGTGAAGGGACAACCCTTTAGAACAAAGATGAGGAAGAATTTCTCCAGTCAGAGAGTAGTGAATCTGTGGAACTCATAGCCATAGGATGCTGTAGAGGCCAAGTCATTGAGTGTATTTAAGAGAGAGATTGATAAGATCTTGATTAGTAAGGGGATTAAGGATAATGGGGGGAAGGCAGGAGAATGGGCTTGAGAAATATATTAGCCATGATCAAATGGTAGAGCAGACTTGATGGGCTGAATGGCCTAATTCTATCACAACATCTTATGGAACGGAAGCTCAGAAAAAGTGGCTGGCTGGTTCTTAATTAATGATCATGTTAACACAAGACAGGGATAACCTAAGTTCAGGAAACTGGGCTGTAGAAGTGGGCTGAGATATGATAAAGCAAGAAGTCACTTGTGGGAGTGATGTACAGACCCCTTAATCCTAACCACATGGTAGGGTGGAGCTTTAAGAAATAAATACCTGGAACTTGTCAGAACTACAAGGCAATATGGCATATTTTAATCATCATATGGACTAGAAATGTCAGCTGGACAATGATAACATAGACGAGGTTTTGCTAGAATGGTTTCAGGATAGTTTCTGAGAACAACAGTGGATACAAACAAACAGCAGCCTATGCTGTACCTTATATCATATAATGAGATGGGATTAATTAATAATCCCAGTGAAGGGACTCTGAGGTAGCAGTGATCATATTATGATTGAATTTTACAATTTTAGGGATAAAAGTGTGGGACCAGGAAACTTAAATAAGGGGATGAAAGCATGAACTGGCAAATTAGATCACTGCAAATGCAGTGGCAGACAGTTAAGAGGATATTTCGGAGTAAACAGCATCAATACATTCCAATGTCAAGGAAAAAATCCAAGAAAAGGACCAACCCTATGTGGATAATTAAAAGGATTAATAATAGTCTTAAAATTAAAGAAAAAGTACATAGTTATGCAAAGATGGGTGTAAGGTCAGAAGATATAAAAAAAAAACAAAGAATCACTAAAGTATTGATAAACAGCAAAAATGACAGTACCAGAGAAACCCAGTTGGAAATCTGAGTTAACATATAGAAGATGAATGTGAGGAACAATACAGAGATTAAGGAGCTGGTAGATGAATTGGTTAAAGATTTGGCATCAGCGTTCTCTATAGAAGATACAAGTAACATCCCAGAAAGAGGTGTAGATCAGGAAAAGGAAGGGAGGAAAGAACTCAAGAAAATTATAATCACCACAAAAATGGAACTGAAAAATTGTTGAAACTGAGGGCTGACAAGTCCATAGGTCCTGATGGACTTCTTCCTCAATTCTTAAACACAGAGGTTTGTGAGATCTTGTTGCACTGTTATAATATTCCAAAATTCCCTAGATTAGAACATCACATTAGATTGGAAAATAGCAAATGTAACTGCTTTATTCAAAAGGGGATGAAGACAGTAAGCAGGAAACTACAGGGGACTTGGATGAAGGGACTGAAGGTACAGTTGCTAAATTTGCTGACGACATTAATTAGTCAACAAAATAAGTTATGAAGATCATGTCTGTGTAATGTGGGAAAATGTGAAATGGTCCATTCTGGCAGTAGGATTAAATGGAGAGATACTATAGATCTATCAGATGCAGAAAGGTCATAGTGTCCCCTTGATTTAATCATATAAGTATAATATGCGGGGACAGCAAGTAATTAGGAAGTTTAATAGAATGTTATTGGTACTGCAACAGGAATTAATTATGGAAGTAGAGAAGTTATGGTTCAGTTATGTAGGGCACTGTTGGCACCAAATCTGGAAGTTTGTATACAATATTGGTCTCCTAATGTAAAGAAGGCTGTAACTGCATTGGAGATAACAAGGTGTAGAGCTGAATGAACACAGCAGGCCAAGAAGCATCAGAGGAGCAGGAAGGCTGACGTTAGGCCCGAAATGTCAGCCTTCCTGCTCCTCTGATGCTGCTTGGCCTACTGTGTTCATCCAGCTCTACACCTTGTTATCTCAGATTCTCCAGCATCTGCAGTTCCTACTATCTCTCTAACTGCATTGGAAGCAGTTTGGGGAAAATTTACTAGACTAATATCTGGGGGTGGGCAGGCTGTCCTATAAGGAAAGGTTGGACCCATCAGTCTTGTATTTGCTGGACTCTAGAAGAGTAAGAGATGATTTAATTGTAACATTTAATATCCTGAGGTCCCTCGACATGATGGACATGGAGAGGACATTTCCTCTTATGGGAGAATCTAGAAGTAAGGATAAGTCTTTAAAAACAAATTGTCACCCATTTAAGACTGAGATAAGGCAAAAGTTTTCCTGTGATGCTCATAAGTCTTTGGAACCGACTTCTTGTCTGGGATGAGGTGCTGCTTGTTGGGCTCAGGTTGAGATTTATTGGAAAAGTATCAGAGGCCAAGGATACAAATGTCAGCGTGGAAATGAAACAGAGAATTAAATTAGACAGGCAAACAGCAGATCTGGTTCAAATTTCTGCACTGAATGGAGGGTGTTCCACAAAAGCAGGTCTTGAGCATATATTTGGCCTGCTCAAATGTACAGGAAACAATTCTACGAGCAGTGAAAACAGTAAATTCAAAGAATTATGAGTAGTTGCTGTTTTGTTGGAAGGTTGTCTTTTCACCTTGGACATTGAGAAGGGAAAAGGCACACAAAAAAGGCAGATATTTCATTTTGCATACTGAAAGTGCTACGGGAAAGGTTGATTAAGGGATGGAATAGATATCACAAAGAAACAGTCTGTTTGGAAGAAAATCTATAAGGGAAAGCTATTTTACTTCCAAATCACTTTGCTGAGATAACAGAAAAATATTTTGTGCCAATTAAAGCAATACACTGTCAACATTTTTATTTGTGGTTATGCACATACAGGAAGAGATTTTTAACACTGTTTTTAACTTCATATTTTGATGGTAAATTAAGCAGAAGGTTTTGCATACCAAATTTACTGATAGCTACTCAGTCGGAGAAGCAAAAAGCCAATCTGATGTGCTGGCGTACTTTGTACAGCTAGGATATTGACTGGTCGTGCTGAAGTAGGGCTGACCAATTCTAAATTGTTCCAACTTAGCAGGAAAATCAGAAAATCCAAACAGCGTTCTGAATGCAGAAACGAGACCAGACAAATGTCTCATCATTCATTGACCTCCAATGCTCTCTCATTGCTAACTTTACATTGAGGGCAAAGGACCAAGCAACCAATTCTCTTGGGGCTGCAGCTAGGTTTGTGCACTGCATTGTTAAAAATGACTAGAAATATTTAAATACCATTTGGCTTTTGCTCGCCAAGGTTATTGAAAACTTTTTTTTAAAAATTGCTCCTTTTTTGTACACAGGGCTGCAGTTCCTTTGATCTAGTATATATTGACATTACGACGACACTAATTTCTGTCAATCTTATCAATGGCATCATAAGATTCGCAAGAGATTTGGAACAATGTCCAGATGTTAAAGTCATCATGAACAATTGAGGCCCAAACTTGCATACTCACGCAGTGCTTGATTAATCATTCTTTCTCTTTACCAAATTGTTGTTTATTTGCTTCAAGCAATCAAAATTGAAAGTCTGAAGATATCAAACCCTCACTTTCGATATTTAACACACATGCTTTTAAAAATGCACACCTTTTGATGAAAGTAATCAAGCAACATTTGGCTGTCTAAAGATAAAGAATCCAACTTGGGCCCCAGCTATTTATAATCTGTACTAAATACTTGGATGCAGGGATAGAAATTACTGAAGGCAAATTTGCAAATGATGTGAAACTAGATGGGAAAGTAAGTTACAATGGAGAAATAAGAAATTAACCAACAGATATGGATAGATTAGGGGAATGGGCCAAAATTTGGCAGATGAATTTTAACTTAGACGAGTGTGAAGTTTTCATTTTGGTCAGAGGAATGGAGAGAAACTTCAGTGTGCTTTGATGCAGAGGGATCTGAGTGTCTTTGTGCATGAATCCCAGAAAACTAATATGCAGGTACAGCAGGTCATAAGGAAGGCAAATTGAATTTTGGCATTTATTGCTAAAGAAATGGAGTATAAGAGTAGGGAAGTATTGCAGCAACTGTACAATACAGTGAGGCCGCACCTTGGAGTATTGCTATAAAATGGTGGCCTCCTTACTTAAGGAGGGATGTAGATGTATTGGAGGCAGTTCAGAAAAGTTTCACTTGATTGATTCCAGAGTTCAGGGTTTCTTATGAACAGAGATTGTGCTCACTACAGTTTAGGAGATTGAGAGGAGATCTAACTGGACACACAAAATAGACATAGAGAGGATCTTTCCTCATGGGGGGCAATCTAGAATCAAAGGTCATAGTTTTAGGAAAAGGGGTAGCAGATTTAAAACAGTGATGAGGTGGAATTACTTCTCTCAATGAGTTGTAGGTCTGTGGAATTCACTCCCCCAGAATATGGTTAATGCTGGAACATTGAGTAAACTTGAGGAGGAGATAGACAGATTTTTAATTAGTAATGGGTGAACGGTTATGAAGAGCAAGCAGGAAAGTGGAGTTGAGGCCACGATAGGATCAGCTATGATTGTACTGAATACCAGAACAGGCTCAAGGGCTGAATTCTATACTCTGGCTCCTAGTTCTTATGTTCTTACATTGCCCACTTCATCCTAGTTTAAAAGTAAATATGCTGTAATGGACGATTTAGGTGGGGCTCTTCCTGTGACTACTGCCCACATGGTGGAGGAATCTCACACTTTTAACTGTTCATGGTTATAGGCCCTCAGAAAATCACACTTAAATTGAGAGAGTATTATTAAATTGGAGACGGTTCAGAAAAGATTTACCAGGATATTGCTGGAAATGGAGTGTTTGAGTTATGAAAATAAGCTGGATAGGCTGGGACTTTTTTCACTGGAGTATAGGAGGTTAAGAGGTGGCCTTAAAGGGGTTTATGAAATCATGAGGGACAAAGATAAGGTGAAGAGCAAAGGTCTTTTCCCTAGTGTGAGGAAATTTAAAACTAGGGAGTGTATTTTTAAGATGAGAGGAGAAATATTTAAAATGGACTTGAGGGGCAACTTTGTTTATACTTGTTTGCAAGTACAATTATAACAATTAAAAGGCATTTGGATAAGTACATGAATAGGAAAGGTTTGGAGGGATATGGGCCAAACACAAGCAAGTGGGACTAGTTTAATTTGGGAATATGGTCGGCATGGTTTGGTTAGACTGAAGGGTATGCTTCCATGCTGCATGACTCTATGATTCTATACTAGCTTGATGGAAGCTCTAGATTTTAAGAAGCATATTTAAAGGAGGTGAGAGAGGTAGACAGGCAAAGATTTAGGGAGGGAATTCCTGAATACGATCATGGCTGATCTGATTATGATCTTAATTTCCACTTTGTTGCTCCCCTTTAATGGCCTCTGATTGCCTTGTTAATCAAGGATCTAACTATTTCTCACCTTGAAAATAGTCAATGACCCCATCTCCACTGATCATGATCCAATTTATTTTTAATCATTCGAGGGATAAGAATGGTCTTTTGTTTTACTTGTTCGTGGGATGTGAGCATCACTAGCTAAGCCAGCATTTATTACCCAGCCCCAAATGCTGCTGCACACCATGTGGTGTAGAGACGGTGCTGCTGGGGAGAGAATTCCTAGATTTTGACCCAGTGATCCAGAAGGAACAGTGATATATTTCCAAGTCAGGATGATGAGTGGCTTGGAGGAGAATTTGCAGGGTCTGCAACTGTCCATGTCAATCCAGATGGTAAAGGTGCTGTTGGAGAAGCCTGGGTGAGTTCCAGCAGTGCACATTGTGGATAATATACACCACTCCTACTGAGCGGAAGTGGAGGGAGTGAATGTTGAAAATGGTGAATGGGGTGCCAATCAAATGGACTGCTTTGTCCAGAATATCAAGCTTCTTGAGTGTCATTGGAACTGGACCCATCCAGAGAATTGGAGAATATTCCATCACACATCTGATGTATGCTTTGTGAATAGTGGACAGACTTTGAGGAGTCAGGAGGTGAGTTGCTTACCTCAGAATACCTAGGTTTGGACCCACTCTGTAGCCACAGTAGTTTTGTAGCTGGTCCAGTTCGGCTTCTGGTCAATGGTAAGCCCCTGAATGCTGATGTTGAAGAATCCAGTGATGATGATGCCACTAAATGCCAAGGGGAGATAGATTCTGTCTTGTTGGAGAATTGATCTGACTAGTTAAGGTTGGTGTTGCCTTGAGCACAGTATACTGAGGGCTGATCTGGTCAATGTTTAATGGATACTTAGAAATAGAGAGATTTTCTTGCAGGTAACCATGCAGCCTGAAAGCAAACAATCCAGTCTAATCACACCTTCCAGCTCTTAGCCTGTAGCCTTCTGGGTTATGCCACCTCAAAAGCATAATCAAACATTTTCCTTTCAATCATGACACAGAAGGATTGCTGAAAGCGGTGTTTAAAATATTCAATGAGGTAGTTGTGCAGAAATGATTTCCTTTGGGAGTGCAATAAAGCGAACAGAGACTTGAGACAAGCCAGGCCATTTAGGAGGAAAATTAGGAAGCAGTTCATTACATGAATGGTCAGAGCCTTCAGGAATTCTCTCCCTAAAAATTAAGTGGACGTTGGTGAACAAGTGGAGCTTTCACGACTGAAAATGATAGTTCTTCTGCAGGTAACAAGGAATATGGGGCGAAGGCAGGTATTTGGAGTTGAGAGACAGGACAACCACAGTCAATCCATGTGACTGGCAGGGTAGGCTTGGATGGTTGAATAGCTTCTGTGTGTTCCTACTTTGGATTTTTACCTATTGGCTTTTGTTTTCAGAAGGTGTGTGGCATCATAGCAGGATGTCTGCATTATTTGTTCCTTACGGCTTTTGCTTGGATGAGCTTGGAGACATTGCAGCTTCACCTCATGGTCAGGAACTTGAAGAACATGAGGGTATTCCATTCCAGTAACATTGGGAGGTATATCTACCCACTAGGATATGGGCCTCCCGCACTGATCGTGGTAATTTCTGCAGCAGCTTCCCCCAACGGATATGGTTCACACAGACAGTAAGCTGCTTCTGATATCTCCTCTATCCTGTTGTGACGATTTAGCCAATTATTTTTTAGCTTCGATAGTTGCTGTTTTGCCAGAAGACCCCGCAAACAGTGACGCAGGCAGCCTCAGATCACTACTGCCTCGCCCAAATAAGGTGAGGGATGCGCCAAGCCCAGCTTTACCAGGGAACGCACCAGCCTGGTGCTTCCTGTCTCTCAAAGGAGCCACTCTAACTATGCCAAGGGGCAAAGGGGGCAGCTGTGTTGTGCTCCCAAACCATGTCTACACGACAGTGATTAAGGACTGCTCCAACTGCCTTTCAGCAGGCAACGTCCTTTCTGAGGTGAATCAGAATAGAGGTCCGAGAGGTCAATGATGCATCAGCCCAGACCCCGCATGCTCACAGTTTTAATGAGTATCGATCTTTGAATTCAAACCAACTTACCTCAATATGTTTCCTTCTGATTTCCAGCTGCTGGTTACTGGTAGAGAATGGGTTTGTCTGGAGCTTCTTGGGACCTGTCTATCTGATCATTTTGGTAATTCTATTTTAGTATCATCTATCATATATATGATATTGTTTACTGTTAAACCTGATGACATTTTACAATGAAGTTCACAAGTCAGCAGTAAAGCTCACTGCCCACATTGATGTACACTTATATTTCAGCAGCTCTTTTGTAATTATTAATTGATCTATGGAGGTGTGGTGTCTTATCTCCGAGAGTGAAGGTGTGGGTTCAAGTCTCAACATGAACACAAAATCTATGCTTACACTCCAGTGCAGTACTGAGGAAGAGATGCACTGCCAAAGATTCTGCATTTTGGACGACATGTTAAACCAAAGTCCTATATCTTCCCCCAACACCCCACCCCACCTCCACTCCACCACCAACTCCCCCCCACCCCACCCCCACCCCACCGGCACTTTGGCCTATGTACAATAGCCCTTGGCATTACTGTGAGAACTGCTGGAGAATTTTCCTCAGTGTCTGGGGCAACATTTATCCTTTCACTGAAATGTAATATCTGTGATAGCAGTGTCTTTGGGAGTTTGCTATGCACAAATTAACTGCAATTTCCCCCACATTACAACAATGACTACATTAGCAAATAATTAATTGGCTGCAAAGAACAAAGAAAGATTTTAAAAATAGACATGAGGTGCAACTTTTTTTACACAGAGAGTGGTTTGTGTGTGGAATGAACTTCCAGAGGAAGTGGTGGATGCGGGTACAGTTACAGCGTTTAAAAGACATTTGGAAACACACATGAATAAGAAAGGTTTGGAGGGAAATGAGCCAAGCATAGGCAGGGGAGACTAGCTTGGTTTGCGATTATGGTCCGCATGGACTGGTTGGACCAAAGTGTCCATTTTTGTGCTGTGTGACTCGATGACTTTGGGACAGTCTGAGATCACAAAAGGTGCTATATTAATGCACCTGTCTTCTTTGAGTTAACATTTATAATCTTCATTTTTAAATCCCATGTTGTTTAATTCGCACCAGGCATTTAAAAGTCCACTTTGAAAAGACCAAAATTTCAGGGGTGTTTTTTGTTTTGAGAATGAACAGATGAAGTTATCAATAGCAAGAAGGGCTCAAATGAAATGACGGACTGGGGAAGCGAGAAGGAAAGAAAAAGTAGAACATATAATGATTACGAAAGGAACAGTTAAGGCTGTTCGGGCAAATGGTTACAGGAGAGCTTCCCAAATTGGCGGCCGGGACCCCAATTGGGGTCGTGACCTGAAACTTTAGTCTCACGGGCTCTGAAACATCAATGGCTGCCATGGACCTTAATCCAAGTTGTCACAACTGTGCTCCCTTTTAAAGGGCCCCCACCCCTTATTCTTACACACTCCGTTTCCCCACCCCACCCCATCCGCATTCCCCACTCTCACTGAGGGGGCATGTGACAATTTTTAAGCCTCAAAATGGCGGGACAGTTGGAAAGCTCAGGAGTCACAGGGATAAAGATTAAAGGCATGAATTGAAAATCAGGAAGAGATTAGCAGAGAAGCTTGTCTTCAAAGTTGCAATGTCAGCTTTCGTTCCACTTGATGGACTTTTACCACAATTGGCTTCTTGCCCTGAGGATATTTTATCAGAATTCAGTCAAATATTAACCATTTATATATTTTAACCAAAACTCTAACGCCTGTATGCTAATGTGTACTGAAACCCTGTTCACCTTCATCCCTGTGGTTGCTGAGATAGATTGCCTCAATCCACCCACAACAGCTCATTTCTTAATATTCTCATCCTCGCCTTCAAAACATTCCACAGGCTCCATAATTTCCTCCAACCCAACAACTTGCAAGACTTCCATTCTGCTCCGATTCTGGCCTCTTGTGCAATCCAAATGTTTATCACTCCACCCATTTGCAGCTGTACCTTTAGCTGCCTAAACTATGGAACTCCCTCTGAACTCCCTACCACTCCAGCCTCTCCCAGACAACCCCTCCACCACTCTCTCACCTTTATGGTGCTCCGTAAAATTTAGGAGAATCTTTGGGATAGTTTACTGCGTTAACAAAAGCAGAATTGGTGTTGTTTAAACTGTGCCAATCAAAGCTTTCTAAATCTGGCGAGAGCTTCGGTTGATTGGGCTGAGGACTGTTCAAACTCTTAATGTTTCAAACTCATTTAGATGCTGCCACTGACTCTGTTATATTATCTCCAAACTGCATGTAATTCGAATCATGAATACTGATTCTGAGGCAGGATTTCTATTTTGCCCTTAATTCAAAGCCGCTTCAACAACAAGAACAAAAACTTGCATTTACATAGCATTTTTAATGTTATTTAAATTGTTGAACAATTCAAGTTTAGTATTTTTGCTCGGTAAGAACCAGTAGGCTTATCAGGACCAGAGTCGATTATTGAAACAGTACCTTCTCAATGCTACAGCATTTTGCCAGACTTTCAGTCTCCTCAAAACAGAGTAAAACCAGTCAGTAAAAAATGTAAGCATGCACAGAATTGAGGAACAAAACCAAAGTTGCTGGAAAAGCTCAGCAGGCCTGGCCTACTGAGTTCTGAGGAAGGGTCACTGAACCCGAAATGTTAACTCTGTTTATTCCTTCACAGATGCTGCCAGACCTACTGAGCTTTTCCAACAACCTCTGTTTTTGTTCCTGATTTACAGCATCTGCAGTTCTTTCGGTTTTTATTATGCACGGATTGAGTTGGCTCAGTAACATTGGCTAAGTTATGAGAGACGGAGGACTGTAGTTCAGATTCCTCAGAGATGCCTAGACTGTGTTACCATATTCTGGATCAATAAGTTTAACATCTCAAATAATCCAACAGGCGAATACATTTCTGTTCACCATAACTCTCTGCATATTGAATGAAGAACTTTCGAATCGTGACATGAATGTCTCAAAAATTAAGGACACAAGGTGAGGCTCCAAGGGGAGATGTCGAGGACAAGGGGGAATAAACTTTAATTTAGAATTGGGCACCTCAGGGCTGTTTCAGGAAGTGCTTCTTCACACAAATGGTAGTGGTGGTCTGGAACACTCCCTGCCCAAAAAGATTCCGAGTGTTGGAGAGGAGGAGGGGCATGGTGAGGGTCAACAAAAAAATATCAAGAGTGAGATTAAGAATTTTTCCCACATTGCTGAACTCCTGCTCGTTTAGGTCAGGACTGGTTTGTATCTTTACTCCATCTAACCACCTTGCTTCTACATCCCTTACTTAAGGAAAAATTCTTAATCTCATTCTTGATTTTTTTTGTTGACCCTCACCATGCCCCTCCTCCTCCCCAACATTCAGAATCTTTTTGGGGTCCCTGGGTCTCTGGATTAACAGTCCAGCAATAACACTATTAGGCCATCACCTCCCCATAGCACCACATCCACCACCTTCAACATTCATTCTCTTCACTGACGCATTGTGGCAACAGTGTATACCATCTACAAGATACACTGCAGCAACTTAATAACATTCCTTTGATAGCACCTTCCAAACCCACAATCTCTTCCACATAGCAGGATGAGGATAGCAGATACATGGAAAACCATCATCTGCAAATTTGCTCCCAAGCCACACACCATCCTGACCTGCAAGTGCATTGCCATTCCTTCAGTGTTGCTGAGTCAAAATCTTGAAACCCCGTCCCTAACAACACTGTAACTGTATCTACACCACATGGCCTACAGTAGTTCAAGAAAGCAACTAACCAGTACCCTCTCAAGGGCAAGAAGGGACTATAATGCTGGCCTAGTTAGCAACGCCCACTTCTCACGAAAGAGTAATTGGAAGTACTTGAACTGAAGTTTAGCAGTCATACATATTAAACCCACTTGAAAAGATTACATGTTCACATCCTTGCAGATAGCTTTGGTCTGAAGATATGAAATTATGATTGTATTGCAATTAATAATGACTTGCTCGAAGAGGGTTAAGTGATGCCTCTGCAAGGCCAAGTTATGAATGCTCAAGTGGAATGAAGGACTGGGGAAGCGAGAAAGAAAGGAAGTACAGAACATACTATGACTATGAAAGGAAAAGTCAAGGCTGTTCAGGCTGTGTTCACCCAGTAATGATTGGGGTTAATTGTCATTTTGGGACCTGAAGAAAGCAAACCCTGTTGGGTGCTTTATTCATAGGTGCTCGGTGTCCTATTTAGGGACCTGGCATTGGGAAGAGGGAGTCTACCGTGTCCCAAACCCCCTCCCTTGCTGACACCAAGCCTCCCCCAACATCACTTGCATGTGCACTGGGAGCATAGGTGGGTGCATTACCAGCTGAAGCCACCTTCTTCCCTGCTGAGCAAGATAGATATATTGTTTAGGTGCATCTAAAAACTAATTGTTCATCTCAGGGTTTTGGAGGGCCCATAAGTGTTCCCATCACTACCATGTCTAACAATAATTTTCTCCTTGTTGCAGGATGCTGACGTTTAAAGCCATTGGACAAATCTTTATCCTGGGCTGTACTTGGATTCTCGGCTTCTTTCATTTTCAAGAGGATACAGCAGTGATGGGCTATTTATTTACAATTGTCAACAGTTTTCAAGGCACCTTCATCTTCATCATCCTTTGTGTGTTAAATCCCAAGGCATGTGGTATTTTATTTTAGGTTTATTACATTGGAATGGAATAAGTCACAATATAGGAACTGGAGTCAGACATTCAGTCCTCAAAAATGTTCCACCATTTAGTTAGCTCATGGCTGACCTGTATCTCGCCTCCATCTAGCCACAGTGAGCCTGGAGATCCACGACCTCTCACAGAATAAAAAATTACTAATTTTATTCTTGAAGTTTTGAATTGACCTCCGACCTCAGCTACAGTTTTTTGGGAGACATGGTTCCCATTCAACCTCAGCAAAAATCTGAAAGCTGGGAGCCAAGGAGATAACATATTCTGTGTTCGCTAGTCTCTCAGTTCTGCCTCACCACCCACCTTGTGCCTCTGATGGTTGGAGTTTGAATCCCATTGCACGGTTATTGGGCACATAATCTAGGCTAATATTTCAGCACGGCACTGATAGTGCCATCTGAGCTGGCTCCTTTTTGTTTGAGGCATTAAACTAAAGGTCTGTTTCCTCTTTCGTACAAAAATTGCAAGTAAGTCATTGAACATGTTCAAGGCAGAAATTGTCTTCTGGATGCTAATGACATCGAGAGATATGGGGATAGCGCGGGGAAATGGTGTTAGATAACCAGGTATGATATATAACCATATGTATAACCGGCCATGATCTAGTTGAATGATGGAGCAGACTCAATGGGCTGAATGGCCTACTCCTGTTCTTATGTAGAAGGCGCAACAGCACTATTTCCAACCACAGCATAGGTTTCCCCAGTATCCTTGCTAATAGGCATCCCTTATCTACAGCAGATTATTCGGTCATGACCTCATTGCCATTTGCAGGACATTCCTGTGTAAAAATTGGCCACCATATTTCTCTGCAACACTAGGGTGGTTGTGCCATAAATATCTTAAAGCACTTTGGGACAGGCTGAGGTTGTGAAAGGTGGAGCATCAGCGGGAGTTCTCACTTTCGCCTTCCCTCATGTTCGCCTGCGTTACAGGCTCATGGCCGAGAGTATGACTTCAACCACAAAGCTGAGGTTGCAAGAACCCCAAATCAAACCGTCTTCACACTGAGTCACAAAGTACCTGTGGCACTGATACAGGAAAAGAGACCAACTTATACTGGTCTTCCTCTAAGGTGGGTCAGGTTGTACTGTAGCCTGAACTTTAGCTCATGCTGTATGTTTTACCTGTGAATGCTGGGAGCAATATTGGCCACCAAAGAGGGTAAGCTGTGAAACCAGTCAATTCTTAATGGGTCACCAGCAATTATTCTAAACTGTGCATTGTGTTTTTCTGTAAAAAGAAAATCAGCAATAGATGAGAAGTTTATGTGCAGAATCTTAATTTATCAGCTACAAAGTTTGATAAATTCCTTTTCTTAAACCTCTTAAGATAAGGGCTGAATACAGCAAATGGATTACCTGCATCTGCCAGACCAGAAAGAGCTTATTTGAATCCGAATCCACAAAAGTGCCATTGTCAGTTACATCGGTAAGTGTGCCTATATTTACAGCAGCATCTGGTGACGCAGCACTGAGAAACAGAAAAGGTAGCAGCACTGGAAAACCATCTCACCCATGTTCCCCTCAAAGTTACACACCATTCCAACTTCGATATTTATACAATATCACCATTCCATCATGGTTGCTTTCTCACTTTCTCTCTCAAGCCCAAGTGCAAATGACCAGTGAATACAAATCTTGTCAGTGATGCTATTACAAGATAAATTTTAAAAGTAGAAGGGTCCAGAGTTAACAGTCACTTGATAGAACAGAACTTGAGCACTGCTGATAAAAGAGTCAGATTGGTGAAGCTTTTTCTTGCACTACTCAGGATAGAATTGCAAGGATATCACATCTCAATGGGAACAACAATTCGTATAACTTAAGAAGAGGATGCTGATTAGTTTATGAGTGGATGGTGATTGGGGAGGTGATGGCCTAGTGGTATTATTGTTGCACTGTTAATCCAGAGACACAGATAACATTCTGGAGACCCAAGTTCAAATCCCGCCACGGTAAATGGTGAAATTTGAAGTCAATAAAAATATCTGGAATTAATCATCTAATGATGACCATGAATCCATTGTTGATTGATGGGGAAAAAAAAACCCACCTGGTTCACTAATGTCCTTTAGGGAAGGAAATTGCCATCCTTACCTGGTCTGGCCTACACGTGACTCCAGACCCACAGCATTGTGGTTGACTCTTAACTGCCCTTTGGGTAATTAGGGATGGGCAATAAATGTTGGCCCAGCCAGCGACACCCTCATCCTGTGAATGAATAAATAATAAAGATTAATCTCCATGGCAACACCTCTACCTATCAACTTACCTGCACCCTTTTCTGATTTTGGTATAAATTGTTGTTCCCTTTGAGATATGATATTCTTGTAATTCTGTCCTGATCAGTGCAAGGTGAAAGGTTTTAGTGACATTTCTTTCCTTTCAGCAAAACTCAGGGTCCTTTATGTCACACATCTCAGATTGGGATCAATCGTCAAATTGAAACGCAGGTTTCTATATAACTGCAGTTTGCCACTAACAAACTGAAAGTAAATCATATTTATTTGCAGGAGTAAACCAAACTCTCTTATAGTACTTCTTCAAATTCATTTCAATTGCTGTATGAGTGTACCTGCCCCAACCTTGGGCCATCTTCAAAACTATCACACAATTTAATGATCAAAAAGAATGAACTGGATAGCCAACTGCAATTCCTTTGAAAGTTTCCCTGATGATGATGTTCATTTATGTACAAGCTTGTACAGCTCTGAGTATATATTTAGTAAAGGAACAGGAGAAGTTCATTTTTTTAGGACCTGTTCCACGATTCGGTGTGATGGCTGATCTGTGACCTAACCTAACCTAACCTAATTGCTGTCTGCAGGAGAGAGTTCCAAACCTCAACCACCCCCTGTTTTCAGGATTTTATTCCTGGATGGTCTGATTCTACATCTTAGACCATGTCCCTTAACCCTAGAAACCCCAGCCAGCAGAAATAGTTTCTCTGCAACTATCCTTATCTGTTCCAATGATTACAACCCTACTTGGTCAAATTTCTCTTTGTAATTTGATCAAAGGAGTTCAGTTATTTCATAGAATCCCGACAGTGTGGGAACAGGCCCTCGGTCCAACAAGTCCACACTGACCCTCAGAACATCCCGCCCAGACCCATTCCCCCTGTAACCCACTTCATCTACACATCCCTGAACACTCTGGGGTAATTTAGCACAGCCATTTCACCTAGCCTGCACATCTTTGGACTGTGGGAGGAAACCGGAGCACCCGGAGGAAACCCACACAGACACAGGGAGAATGTGCAAACTCCACACAGACAGTCCCCTGAGGGGGGAATCGAACCTGGGTCACTGGCGCTAAGAGGCAGCAGTGCGGACCACTGAGCCACCGTGCCACCCAATCATGATAGTACATGTTGTTTTCCCTCCAAGACCAATATATATCAGTCCTCAGGTATTGCCTAGAACTGCTACACATTTCTTCATGTGTGGTCTAAGCTTTGCATAGTTGAAGCACAATTTCAAACACCTTTTATTCTCACATTCCATTAGCCTTTCTGATTATTTCCTGCACCTGCTTTAGTGATCCATGTAGCCGGACAGGAAACCCAAGGATACATCAGAAGACTCGCGCAGTGAGGCAGTATGGGTATAACTCAGGAAAAGGAAATGTGGAATCACAATGCTGGGGGTATACTACAGGCCTCCCAACAGCCAGTGGGAGATAGAGGAGAGAACATGACATTGGTTGGGACTTACTCATGCTAGGGGTTTGGATGGAGCAGAATTTGTAAGGACTATTCAGGAGAGCTTCTTGACACAATGTGTAAACAGTCCAAACAGGGAAGGGGGTTATACTAGACCTGGTTTTGGGAAAGGAGCCCGGGTAGGTGAGTAAAGTTTCAGTGGGCGTGCATTTCGGGAGTAGTGAACATAATGCCGTGAGTTTTAAGATACTCATGGATAGGGATAACAGCAGTCCTCAGTTGAAGGTGTTAAACTGGGGGAAGACAAACTGCAACAATATCAGGCAGGAACTGGTGAATTTTGACTAGAGGTGGCTGTTTGACGGTAAATCTACGTTGGGCGTGTGAGAGTATTTCAAACAGCAGTCGATAAAAATTCAGGAGCAGCATGTTCCTGTGAGATTGAAGGACAGATATGGCAAGTTACATGAACCTTGGATGACCTTGGTCAGAAAGAGAAAAGAAGCATACGTAAGGTCTAGGAGGATGGGAACTCAAACAAAGAATTAGAAGGGCTAAAAGGGGTCATGAAAAATCATTAGCAAACAGGATTAAGGAAAATCCCAGAGCTTTTTATACATATATAAAAAGCAAGAGGGCATGAAAGAGTTGGCCCAGTCAAGGACAATGGAGGGGATCTATGTGTGGAGCCAGAAGAGGTAGGTGAGATCCTAAATGAATACTTTGTGTCGGTATTCACCAAAGAGAAGGAATTGGTGGAGGGTGATCTCTGGGAAGGGAGTGTTGAATTTCTAAGCTGAGTTGATATTAAAAAGGAAGAACTGTTGTGCATAAAGCATTAAGATAGATAAGTCCCTAGGTCCTGATGGGATCTATCTTTGGGATCCATTGACAGACATCTTTGTATACTTTGTAGCCACAGATGAAGTCCCAGAGGACTTGAGGATAGCCAATGTTGTTCCATTATTTAAGAAGAGTAGCAGGGATAATCCAGAAAACTACAGGCCTGTGAGTCTCATGTCAGTGGTAGGGAAATTATTGGAGAAGATTCTCAGGGACAAGATCTAAACTCATTTAGAAGCAAATGGACTTATTACTGATAGACAGCATGATTTTGTGCAGGGGAGGTTGTGCCTCAATAACTTGATCGAGTTTTTTAAGGAGGTGACAAAGATAATTGATGAGGGAAGAGTGCTGAATGTCGTCTACATGGACTTCATATTAAAGCCTTTGACAAGGTCCCTCAGCATAGACTGTTGCAAAAGGTACTGTCACATGGTTACTGGGCTGAGCTGGCAAGATGGATACAGAACTGGCTTAGTCATAGGAGACAGAGGGTAGCGGTGGAAGGATGCTTTTCGGAATGGAGGGCTGTGACTAGTAGTGTTCCACAGGGATCAGTGCTGGGATCTCTGCTGTTTGTGGTCTACATAAACAATTTGGAGGAAAATGTGGCTTCTCAAATTAGTAAGTTTGCGGATGATACAAAGATTGGTGGAGTTGCGGATAGTGAGGAGGATTGTTAGAGGATACAGCAGAATACAGATCAATTGGAGGCATGGGCAGAAAAATGGCAGATGGAGTTTAATCCGGATAAATGTTGGATGGTCAAGAACAGGTGGAAATCATACAGTGAATGGCAGAACCCTTAGGAGTATTGATAAGCAGAGGGATCTGGTTGTGCAGGTCCACAGATCACTGAAGGTGGCAGCGCAGGTAGGTAAGGTAGTCAAAAAGGCCTATGGCATGCTTGCCTTCATTGGAAGGGGCATCGAGTAATACAATAGACAGGTCATACAATATAGTGTGGAGCTGGAGGAATACAGGAGATCAGGTAGCATTAGAGGAGCAGGTTTCAGGTCAGGACCTATATAGAGTCTTAGTTAGGCCACAGTTGGAATATTGCATACACCACACTACCAGAAGGATGTGGTTGCTTTGGAGAGGGCACAGAAAAGGTTTACCTGGATGTTGCCTGGTATGGGCAATTCTAGCTATGAAGAATGGTTGGATAGGCTGTGTTTATTTTCACTGGAACGCAGGAGGTTGAGGGGAGACCTGATAGAAGTTTATAAGATTGTTAATGGCATGGGTAGAGTGGACGGTATGAGGTTTTTTCCCAGAGTGGAGGGTTCAGTTACCAGGGGACACAGGTCCAAGGTACGTTGGGAGGGCTGGGAGCATGGTAAGTTTAAAAGAGATGTACGAGCCAGGTTTTTCACACAAAGGGTGGTGAGTGTCTGGAACACGCTACCAGAGGAGGTGGTGGAAGCAGACACAATAGCAGCATTTGAGAAACACCTGGATGAATACATGAATAAGAAGGGAATAGAGGGATATGGATTCTGTATGTGGAGACAGTTTTAATGTGGAAGGGCAAAATGTGTCAACGCAGGCTTGGAGGGCTGAAGGGCCTATTCCTGTGCTGTGTTATTCTCTGTTTCATCTATTCCTTCAGCATTACACCACTTAGAAAACTTCATGTGACTACAGCAGGTATATTTAAAGTCACGTAGAGAACTTTGAGTATATGAATATGGACAACATCTCATGTGTCTTCCAATTTTAACGAACTGTGAATGTCTTTACACATGAGCATGCAGAGTGTCTAATGGCTATTGGTTCGAAGCTATAGGCGTACCGACTGTGGAAAAGTAACACCCTGTCAGAGCTGAGTTAGCTAGTTACAGATGATGGCAGCCGTAGAATTTTGTTTCATTGCCACGGTCTGAGAAAGATAAACAATCAGGTTGAGTTCCAAGCTCTAATCTACTGCCTGGTCCAAGAAAGTGTGGTGTATGTACACATTGTATTAGAATAAGGTTGGACTTGGCTGAGGTGGAATGGATTGCCAGAGGGAAAGATCAGTAAAGAAGTGGTAATATTTGGCAATGAATGTACTGGAGCTCCAATTTGAGGACTGGTATGCGTCATTCGCAAGATTTATTGGTTTTTCCTTCTAGATTGCCAACAGTCACCACCATACAAGGCATGGAGTATCTCTCTAATTAACTTGGAGTCCAGGCAATGTTCCAGTGAACCCACACTGCTCTTCCTTCCAAGTCAAGATATCCCTCCTAAGCTATGGTGTCCAGAAGTGAGCACATTGCTTCAGGAGTAGTCTATCCAGGGCTTTGACAGCTGAAACAGAATTGCCACACTCTTGTTTTTCAATCCTCAGGATACAAAGGCTCCAATAGCCTCTCTAATCATTTTCTCTCAAATTAATACTATTACAATGATCCAGTTACCTATATAGCCAAGTCTGGGTGCTTGACTACAATAGCTGAATTGTTATGGTGCAAAATGAGGCCGTTCGGCCCATCATGCATGCAGACCAGCTCTTCAAATGGGTATCATCACCTAGTGCCAGTATCCTGCTTTTTCTCCATTCCCTTACACACTTTTTTTCTATTCAAATAACAATCCATTGCCCCTCTTGAATGCCTCAACTGAACCTGCCTCCACCACATTTCCAGGCAGTGCGTTTCTCACTACCTACTCTTTCTAGCCCACTCAATGTTTTGGAAAATCTCCGTCAAATCTCCTCTCGGCCTTCTACTCTCAAAGGAGAATAGCCCCAACTTCTTCAATCTATTCTCGTCACTGAAGTTCCTCTTTCCTGGAACCTTTCTTGTAAGTCGCTTTTGCACTTTTCTGAATGTATTGTAACACTCCAGCTGCAGTCTAACAAGTGTCTTATGAATATGCCAGGCGAGCAGGCAAACAAGTAATTTCAGTCACAGCCTTGGAAAGTCTACCTTAGACAGATCTCATGGAAGAATACTTCAGTCAGAGGCTACAAAAGTGTAATTCACTCAGGTTCAACATCTTCAAAGATGGAGGGTTTAGAAGGGAAGCTGAAACTAGATACATCATTGAAAACTGAGGCATATATGCTTTTCTCCACAGGAAATAGTGTGACCGGATGTGTTCATGACCTCTGCAAAGAGCTGACTAATTCATTCTGGACAAATACCTGATATGGACTGAATGATAAGTGAAGAATTTGTAGATATCTAAAATGCCATTAAATCTCCGATAAATGACCAATTGGAATGGCAGCCATGGATTAAGCATTACCCTTCTACGAACAGCTGGCTTTGGGAGGAGTAACATTGTCTTATATAGTAAAGCAAGTCAGCAGTAATAAGATTTACATTTGGTTCTGTAAACAACCTTTTGTTGAAAGTTTATTTGATGGTTAAGTTAGTTTCATTAGTTCTGTTCATTAAAGAATCAGGAGATTATGTGTAAATTGGAATTTCTGTCAATGACACAGTGGCAACCCAATGCAATCTAACTGCCTCGTTTAAGAAAAGGAATTGAAATATTTTGTGGGTACTAACATCATTTTGCATCCACTAGAATGTTGTCATTAGCCCCTTTTATGCTTTGCTCTGAGTATAAAATTCCCTGGCCAGTTATAATCTATAGCTCTGTTCATTAGAGAGTGTGGACTTATACCATTCTCTGGTGTTTGAGTCTGAGTGCAAATTGACGTGTGAGACTCTTAACTGTATCACTTTAAAATGGTTTCATAAATACATGTTTAAACCTGTCTCGTATAAATAAAATTGCAATACCAATTCAAAGCCGAGACTACTCTGTACCTCAAACCTACATTCAGATGTCGCGATATATCTTCCAGTAAAGTTGTAACAAACCCCACTCCAGAGACTTGAGCACAAAATCCAGGCTGATACTTCAATGCAAGAATGAATTAATGCAGCACTGTCAGAGGTGCCACCCTTCAGATGAGAGCTTAAACAAATGCCCCCCTGGTTGCCTCTCTCTCAGGTGGTGCTATTCAAAGAAACGGTGGCAAGGCGAAAAGGTATCCATGAACCACCAGTACTAAAACTGACAATCAGGTTATCCTCAGATCGCTGCCTGGGGGACACCTTGCTACACACAAATAGGCTGCTGCATTCCCTACGACGGTGACTCCACTTCAAAAGTATCCCACTGGCTGAAAACACTTTCAGAGGTCATGAGAGACAGTATTTCAGTAAGAGTTCATTTCCATCTTCCTTCCTCTGTACCAGTCTGCAAGAAGCTTGTAACACTCACTTGGATCTTGCTGTACACCCTGGGAGTCATTTATTGAGGCTACATTCCCACGGGATGAGGCCCTCCTGGGAAATGGCTGCTCAAGATATTACAAGCATTCATTTTACGGATTGGAGACTGAGGACACCAGGCTCTGAAGTCCCAAGGTACGCTGATTCACAGAATAATTTTTCCCTCAAACAAAAACCTGCAGAAGCAAGAGGCTCAAACAATCAGAAAAGGCTGAACAGGCGGGAGTTTTCACCTGAAAGGGTTAACTGGCATTGTGAGATAAGCTCCTCACAGTAAGATATATAAGATGGGAGGAGCTAACCAAGATGTTCCAGTGATCAGTGCCAGTTGCTTTCACGAAGTCCATGTAGCTAACAGTGACTCAATTAATTAGCTACTTAGTATCGTATCATAAATGTGTTTTGTTTACCAAGAGTATACCAACTTCTGTTGAAGATTTTGTAAGGGTATCAATAACTTGGACTAATCCCAGTAATTGGCATGGAAAGTAGTTGAGGTCAGGAAGAGGTCAGAATGTTTACAGGAAGAAGTCCCATGTAGTTCTCAGGGATAAAGTGATCAAAGGATAAGGGGAGTAAGCAGGAACAAGGAATTTGTTAAATGATTAACCATGAACAAATTGAGTGGAGGCACAGGCTTCAAGGACTGAAAGGCTTACTCCTGTTCCTATTTGCTATGTTTCTATAAGGAGCATTGTTGGTGGTGTAGCTGTACAAGGAACTTCAGATGATTCTAAACAGCAGAACCGCAACATGTACCATAGTAACAGAGTAGATGAGAAATATTTCCACTTAGTGAGCCCCAAGCTATCAATTATAAGTGCATCAAAGTCACTAACATATCCAAAAAAGAAATGCAGACAAATTATTCTTTACTTAAAGAGTGTTGAGAATGTGGAACTCACTACCAACAGGAATCGTTAAGACAAGTCATATAGATACATTTATGAGGAAGTTCAGTAAACACACGAGGCAGAAAGGAGCAGGATGGTGTGTTGAATGGTTGAAATGAAATGGAATGGAAAGAGACACATGAGGAGTATAAACACTAACATGAGCAGCTGGGCCAAATGGCCCTTGTGTGTGTTGTAAAATGCTATGGAATCCCATGTAAACATTGTCAAAGAGCAAAACATGAGAAAATTCTTCTTGGGAAATGAATGATTCACATGAAGAAGCAGGTGTTCTTCAACAACAGAACAGAATTTTTTACACAAAAGGGGGGCATGGAGAAGCAAGGCTTATACATGGTAGTTCATAAAATCTTAACACGAAAAGCTAAACAAAGCTTCAGGCTGTTACCCTACCCTGTTCTTGTACAGATACTCAATTCTGGAGAAATTTCACTCCGATCTCAATGTTTTAAGGAAGAAAAACACAAATTGCTGGAAAAGCTTGGCAGGTTTGGCAGCATCTGTGGAGAGAAATCAGAATTAATGTTTTGGATTGAGTAACCCTTCCCTTTTCAGACACATATTCCCCTTCCCCTCCCCTCCCTTGTTAGCCTTCTGCAAGGACTGTTCACTCAAGGACACCTTGATTCCCTCCTCCTCCATTCCTAACACCTCCCCACAGCCCCACGGCATCTTCCCCTCCAACCACAGAAAGTGTAACACCTGTCTGTTTACTTCCTCTCTCTTCAGTATCCAAGGGCTCAAAAACACCGCCCAGCTGAAGCAGTACTTTACCTGCACTTCACATTCTCCACTCACTCACCCTAATCTATACCTATCTGCAATCTCTCTGAGTCTCCTTCACAACATGCTTTCCTACCCATCTTGGTGGATCTTGTGAATTTAGATCAAAAGCTGTGCTCCTCTCAACTCATTGTTGCACTTTATTTCAAGATTTGGGGTTTCAACTCATGCCTCCAGAACATTCACTCAGAAAATAGGATTATGGGCTCAATGACATAACCACTGTATCATACAAACCCTCACTTTTCAGTCTCACGAGGAATGTTGGATAGTGATTGGAGGGTGAACACTATGGATAGCCATCACCACCATCAGAAATTGAGAATCTTAGCCCAACGTGGCTCACCATATTCAAACACTGGCATCCCCTCCTGGTACAAAACGTGCATGTTGTACATTCTGCAGACTGGCATTCAACTTCCATACTTTGCTCCTAAAAACATTAAACAACTATTCTGTTATGTCTGACCAGTCTGTATGTCAGCACTCCATCTTAGCTTGAATCACTTAATTGTGACCGCTGACTCTCCTTATCAACCGTCTGCATATTCAGAAATGATTTTCGAGGGTAGTACTGAAATATTTTCTATTTGTGGTTACAAGAACACTTTTCAGCTGTCTGAGAGAGCAGCAGTCACAGTTTCCTGTTACTTGATTTTATCTGAAAAACTGTGAATGTTTGAACAGACGATCAGTTTGTCTGGTCTCTGTTAAACCACCCCATATCAGGTTGGATCTTAACCTATGTTTCTGTTTTATGATGTGTGTTTTCTCTACCCCCACTGTTCCCATTGCCCCTCGATTCCTTTTTGACTCATTCCTTTCCAATGATTATGAGGCCTCCAGTCACGATTAGGGTTGGGCCATTAAGGATGTCTCTCTCTCTCAAGTAAATAAAAGAGTTTGTTGGAAATTCTGTGACTGGGCAATCATCAGTTATAGGCAAAACAGTGTTCCTGTACAGCATTAAAAGGATACAGAACAGCCTAAAGAAGCGTTCTTTCAGCAGTCCATGATAAAAACCCAAGTCCTAAGCTTCATGATAGTGTAACCCATGACAACTGAACAACCAAAGGTAGTATCAGTAATGACTGACCAAACCAGAACACAACAAAAGGCTTTTTGATAACAAGGTGTGGAGCTGGATGAGCACAGCAGGCCAGGAAGCATCAGAGGAGCGTCCAGACCCAAAACATCAGCTTTCCTGCTCCTCTGATGCTGCCTGGCCTGCTGTGTTCATCTAGCTCCACACCTTGTTATCTCAGACTCCAGCATCGGCAGTTCCTAATAACCCCAAAGGTTTCTTGAACTCTCTTTACATCTGTTTACAGGATGTGGGCATTACTGGCTAGACCAGCATTCAGTTCCTTATTGCTGTTGAGAAAATGGCGGCGAGGTGTCCTTGAACTCCTACAGTCCATGAGGTGTGGGAGCATCCATAGTTCTATTACAGAGGGAATTCCAGGATGATGACCCAGCGACACTGAAGGAGCGGTGATATATAATTCCAAGTCAGGATGGAGAGTGCTTGGAGAGGACCTTGGAGGTGGTGGTGTTCCCATGTATCTGCTGCCCTTGTCCTTTGAGATGGCAGAGAGCATGGGTTTGAAAGGTGCTGTCGGAGGAACCTTGGTGAATGGAGTTTATAGAGGAAAGAATTAAGAGTGAGAAGGTGATGACTGTAAAGTAAATACTGTTACTGTCTTCATGATTGCTGCACTTAAAGAAGCAGCTGTCAGAGGTGATTCAACCTTCCTGTTTTAAACTTTAGTCTGTGTGTTTCACAGACTGCCGGGTGTGCTTCAGCTTGTTATAATCTACAAATAAACATTTTTAGGGCTGAATTTAACCATATTTTAGCAAAATGACTTTTGTGTTGAGTTAAGGCTTTTCTCTGCAAGGCCTAGAAAATTTTCTCACACTATGAACCTGATTTGCCTCATTAACTCCCTGTCACACACTATGGCTCCCCTTTCATCCGATGCCAGCAGGATTGTCCCATTCACGGTCACTGGAAGGAACCCCCGGAACATCCTGGAATATTTAAAAGCCTGTTGCACACCCGGTCAAGCATGGTCAGTCTGTAGCTGCACTCCCCTGTTCATGACATTTGCCACAGGCGTGGCAGACAAGGGGT